ATTGTACAGTGGCGTTAAGTGCCGTAATGTGTACCTCTGCCTACCCCTTCGGGGTTAAAAAGGCGTGATGTTATGTTATGTTATGTTAGAACTTCTTCTTCTGAAGCTCCTGCCAGCTGCTTCACCCGCGTTAGCGTGTGAGACATTTTTTTTTTTAGTTAAACCCTTTCCCCACACTAGGATTGTCTCCTGTGTCGTGAGTACGTTTACAAACATACAAGTTCACATACACATGACACCCAGACCCGGAACAACAATCTGTGGATCCCGCGAACCCGCGACACGTTGCACGGCAGTCAGTTGCCGAACGACTGCGTCAACCATGCAGTCCAAATAAAAGTAGCCTTTATGTATATTATTCGGTGAAGGAAAACATCGTGAGGAAACCTGGACTTCTATTTTTGTAATTATAAGTTTGAAATCGCCAGCCCGCATTGAGCAAGCGTGGTGATTAATGCTCAAACTTTATCCGTGTAAGAAGAGGCTTTGCTCAGCAGTGGGCACTTATAGGCTGTTGATGAATGATGATGGTGATGAATCTATGTGTTAATCCAGACCATAATCTATCCCTGTTCCAAATTTCATCGCAATCCCTTCAGCCGTTTTGACGTGAAGAATTAACGAACATACTCACACTATGACTCATTTGAACTGTCTGAACGGGTTGCCAATCTACGCTCTTTCGCCAATTTTAGGATTAAACAGATACAAACGAATGTACGATGATTTTTAATTTTGAGCAAAATATTAATTTTCTTTCACTTAAAATTGATTGTATCTCCAATATTTAATGACTTGCGTTTGAATAACAATTTTTATTGCCCTATTTTTAAAAGGGGAATTTGAGTTTTAATGGGTAATTATTTTCTAATATTGGCAACACTGATTCGCCGTGATGCCTGTAGAGTGTCGCGTGTACCGCTCAGTGCATCTCGCGCAGTCGTTTGGACAACACCTCTATATTGTGAAGTGGCGATTTAGTGGCAAATAATAATTTAAATTCAAAATAAATAATTACGCGTGTGTTTGTGTTAGCAAATTACATACAATGAATCCAAAATACACTCAAGAAACAATGAAAAAAACCACAACAACGAGAGAAGACGTATACCAATATGTTTCAAGAACCCACTCCTTAGAATCCGACGTATCATTTAAATATGAGAAATTGGTGAAGATCGGGCAAGGCACCTTCGGAGAGGTATTTAAAGCTCGACCTAGCCACTCGATTTGTAAAAGTACAAACAGTTTTGTAGCCTTAAAACGAATAATGACGGATCGGGAGACAGAAGGCTTCCCGATCACGGCACTGCGGGAGATTAAGATACTGCAGCAACTTGATCACGATAATATACTCAAGTTAATTGAAGTCTGCAGTACGAGACCGTCAGCTGCCAACAAATATAAGGCCGAATGTTATTTGGTCTTAGAGTACTGCGAGCATGATCTGGCCGGTCTTTTATCCCACCCGAACGTCAAATTCTCTTTGGGCGAAACCAAAATGGTGCTGAAGCAGTTACTGAATTCGTTGTTCTATCTCCAGTGCCATAATGTTCTGCATAGAGACATGAAGCCCTCGAATGTGCTAATCACTAAGAATGGGATACTGAAATTGGCTGATTTTGGTATTTCGAGGACTTTTAAAGAGTCAAAGAACGGAGTAAAGAGATTGACCAACGGAGTTACCACTCTCTGGTACAGACCTCCGGAGTTACTTTTAGGTAAGCTTTATTTTTTTTTTATGGCATAAGCCGGTAAACGAGCAGCCAGATCACCTGATGGTAAGCAATCGGCGTCGCCCATAGACACCTGGAACACCAGAGGCGTTACAAGTGCGTTACCGGTCTTTTGGGGATTAGGAGTTTGAAGATCGTTGGGGATTTAGGAATTGGGGAGATTGGGGAAGGGGAGGGTAATTGGGCCTCCGTTAACCTCACTCACACGACGAAACACAACGCAAGCGTTGCTTCACGTCGGTTTTCTGTGAGGCCGTGGTAACACTCCGGTCGAGCCGACCCATTCGTGCCGAAGCATGGCCCTCCCACACTTGAATACTTTTATTGCCCATGGACAGCCATGTAACACCACCGCCGGCAACGCACTTATTTTATTCATATTATTATTATGAATGCGAATGTTTGTATGTAAGTCTTTTACTTAATCACTTTAACGGCTAAAGGAACTGTGTAACGGTAAAATGGGATGAATACGGTTTGAGGGGCGAATAGATACTATGAAGAATTTCCTTACATCTATTCACCCCTCTTCTGTCCCTATTCACCCCCTTTTACGATACTTGCCCACTAGTCAAATTCAATACTATTTCGAACTGTCAAAAATTAATGTTATACTAGATTGTGTATTGTGACGTTACAGTTTTTTAGCATCAAACAGCATACTTATTTCTTAAAAAAAATAATAGATAAATACTATAATTAAGTTCGTCGTGAAATCAATTAATGAAAGTGTGATTATTTTTTCAATATTTTATTGTATTGAACAGTCGAAATAATTTATTTTTGATTAAGAAAAGTACCCAATTGCTATGATTCTTGGAATAGGTGTAGATTATGTTGTAAAATAATACAGCTTCACGCCTTTTATCCCCAAAGGGATAGGCAGAAATGCATATTACGGTACTTGATGCCACTGTACAATGTAACACTCACTTTTTACTATTTATGTTATGAGTCCCATGTAATAGGGGATGAGTCTATTGCCATATACCGGGCACATTTCCAGACTCCGTGCTACTACTGAGATTTATTGAAAAAACCCAGTAAGCTTTGTTTTACGCCAATGTTCTGTGAGGCCGATTCAGTTTGGTCATTCGCGGCGAAGCATACCTCTTTCACGTAAAAAACTGAATTTATACTTTACTAACATTGACTATGAAACTAAGCCTTAATTCTTCTTCAACAGGTGAGCGCAACTATGGTCCATCAATCGACATATGGGGAGCAGGCTGCATCATGGCAGAAATGTGGACCCCGACCCCCCTAATGCAAGGATCTACGCAGCAGCAGCAACTGACCCTCATCTCACTGCTCTGCGGCTCCATCACCCCTGACGTATGGCCAGGAGTAGAGAATCTACCGTTATACACGAAGTTAGAACTGCCCAAAAACCATAAGAGGACATTGGTGGAACGCATGCAGCGTTACGTCAAAGATCCAGAAGCTCTGGACATATTAGACCAAATGCTGCAACTGGATCCGAACAAGAGATGTGACGCTGAAGGAGCGTTGAATCATAACTTCTTCTGGACGGATCCCATGCCGTGTGACTTGGGGAAGTTGCTGGCTCAGCACAGAACCAGCATGTTTGATTACTTCCATCGCAAGAGGAAAGCAGGTCACAAGCAGGAGAATGGGTACCAGGATCGCATATTCTGAGTGGCGGGATATTTTTGAGAGGAGATAATTATTCAAAGACTCCTCCTGCCTTGAGTGAGGCGAGAGGAAGTGTCAGACTCTTACTGACTGAACACCACCGCGTTCCTACTCCTGCTTGGCGCCGGAGCCGTGGTAACCCACTAGGTCGGTTGGAGATCAGCCTTACTGAGCCATCTATGGTGGTCTGATGGCTCTTTGATGCAGTGGTATATAGACTTCGCCTTTTCTCATCATCATCATCATCAACAGCCTGGGACCGTCCACTGCTGCACTATGAGTCTCCTCTACATAAGAGGGTTTGTCATAATCTCCGCAGGCAGGCGGGTTGGAGGTCGCAGTATAAAAGGTTCAGGTTTATCAGAGAGCGCTGCTGCCCGGTGTCTATTAAGTAGTAGTTCCCTTAGTCGGGTATGTGACACCCACGGGATGAGTGGAGGTGGTGACAAATGTTGTACACTCCACACGGTAGTGTTGTTTGTAAATATGTAAATGGTAAAATTCTGCGACATTTTGTAATATAAGTTAAGGAAGCTTGGGAATCTTGTGTGTCCAGCTATTCCTGAGATAAGCCAGTACAGACATATGTGTATCGTATGTATATTCATATGCATGTAGTAAAAAGTAGATATTTTGATATTACAAACAGACACTCCAATTTTATTTATCTGTATTGATTATAGATTTAATCTGTACCGTGGCCAGCTCGTCAACCTACCCTGGTCTGGCAAATATCTCTATTAAGGACTGCAGGAAGCGATTCCTACGGGAATATGTAGTATCTATGGACCTCCAATTTATTTATATATTATTCTGTCTGTGTGTTGTGCATAAATAAATAAATAAATATTACATCTACAAAGTCAAAGCATTATTTTTTTATTTCCTTTTTAAGTCAAAACATTTATATTTCACATAACATAACATAACATCACGCCTTTGATCCTCGAAAGAGGCAGAGGTGCACATTATGCCACTGTACAATGTTTCTCAGTATATTCACGTGAGTAACCCGCGATTTTAGATAATTCATAATTAGGTACTTTTGAAACGTCAACAAATGTAAAATAAATAATAGTCTATCAGTCAGTCCGTCAGTGAAGCTAGGTGCAACTTTATGGTATTGACATAAAGTCGAAAATTGTCGATTGGGGTAGGTCAGTACATAAATATTTGTTACTAGCATCTGCCTGCTTCTGACTACGTACGCACAATCCCGTTTTCTCCCGTTCCCGTGGGATTTTCAGGAATTTTTCTATCATAAGAACCTTCTCCTGACAATAACAAACACAACAAAAAAAATCAGCCAAATCGGTCTAACCATTCTCAAGATATGGCGTGACAACGGGAAACGGGTTTCATTTTTACATATTATAAAGATAATTATCAGGTTACCCACTCTAGATTTGTTTCCTATATCTTTTACTATATTCATTTACCCACATATCCTGGATATTTTTGTAAATTTAACTCGTCGAGTACCGTCATTATAGACACAATTATAGAACAATAGGTTGCGGTCACCGGTGACCGCTTGGTGTTTGACAGTTTAACTTCTATAGTCTAACCTCGCATTGGCATGTTTTTTTTTAAAGTAAAATAATGTTCCATATTAGTTTGAAGGTACGACATAAGCTGTAATGTTATCTCTGTATTTTTTCTTTAAATAAATAAGTGCGACTGCACCGTTGGCGCGGTGGCTGGGCAACCGGCTGCCGCGCAACGTGCAGCGTGTTCGATTCGAGAGCAACACTTTGTGCGATCCCCATATTGTTGTTCTGGGTCTGGGATTTATTTAAAGTATAAAATCAGTGAACGTGTTTTACGTTTATAGTTAAATCGAGTGACCGTCCTCTAAAATCTGCCGCCCCCTAGGACGCTGCTGCCCCTAGGCCGCGGCCTATACGGCCTATTTATAAATCCAGCACTGCTTAAGAAACATTATGGAATGCAAATAAAGATATGAATATGAATGAATCTGAATATGAAATATATGAAGGAGCGCTGATGTCCAACAAACTTCCCAATAACATGAAAGAAATCCAATCACGTAAACTATTCAAGTAAACATTAAAACATCACATCTTGGAAGATTTCACTAGATTCTGCAAATATAATTAAGCTTATTTAAAATACACGTGTTGTGTCGTAGTGGCCCGGAAGGCAAAGACGCCCGCTTCTCATGCATGTAGGGGTTCGAAACCTACCAACGGCAAGTACCAATGTGATTTTTTCAGAGTCATATACTTTCTAAGATTATCTAGACACCACTGACAAACTATTAAGTGTGGGAGAGCCATGCACGAATGGGCCGGCCGTTCTCCGTGTGAGAAGAGGCTTTGCTCAGCAGTGGGCATTTATAGGCTGTTGATGAAAATACATTACATACGTAAAATAATAAAAAAAACATAAATTAATACTAAAGTAACGTTTATCATACGATAATAAAAATAAAATGTAACTAACAAATTAGTTAGAAAATGATAATAAATAAAAGAAAACAATCTGTATAGAACTAAGTCTATAGAACTAAGCAACTCTATGAGATGCTATTCCCAAAACGACACGTAATAAGTCTACCAACTTAATTTTTTTTGATACCCACATTGGTGAATATTTGTTTAAAATAATTCCCATTTGTACCACCTGCATGTTCATTTCCTTCATCTTAAGTTATTTTTGAAATATTTTTAGTAATACCCACATTCTCAATTAATTATATATTTTAGTAGAAAAAATTTCAATGTACCGCCCGCTACATACATTCTGTACTTTAACTTTAAGTTATCATGTTTTCTCATATTTTAACTGAATTACATTCGTTATATCTATATATATAAAAATGAAACCCGTTTCCCATTGTCACGCCATAACTTGAGTCCGGCTAGACCGATTTGGCTGATTTTTTCTTTGTTGTGTTTGTTATTGTCAGGAGAAGGTTCTTATGATAGACAGACAATCCTGAAAATGTTATGGTAACGGGATGTCGCGGAGAACCTAACGGGTAACCGGGGCTCCGACTCGACGTACAGGAGAAGGAACGGGGTGGTTTTTAGTCAGTGAGAGTCTGACACTCCCTCCCGCCTCACCCAGGCGGGAGCAGTCATTCGATGATTTTCCCCCCTTAAAAAAAATGGTAACGGGATAAAACGGGATTGCGCGTACGAAGTCGTGGGCAGAACCTAGTGAGATATAAAAATTCTTAACTCGTCGAGTACCGGTTTTGTAGACACAATTATAGAACAATAGGTAGCGGTCACCGGTGACCGCTTGGTGTTTGACAGTTTAATTCGATTATAATAAGAAAGTTTGTGAAGATGTGTGTTTGTGTGTATGTATGAGTGTGTGTGTGTGTGTGTGTGTGTTGTCACTCTTTCATGCAAAAACGGCTGAAGGGATCGGCTAAAATTTGGAACAGGGGTGAATTGGGGTTTGGAATAACACATAGGCCACTCTTTATCCTAACGCGAGCGAAGCCGCTAGCAAACGCTAGTATTTCATAAATTTAATTAGGTATATGGCAATAGACTCACCTCCTATTACATGGGACTCGTAACATAAATAGTCAAAAGTAGGTGTTACATTGTACAGTGGCATTAAGTGCCGTAATGTAAACCTCTGCCTTCGGGGATAAAAGGCGTGATGTTATATTGTGTTAAATTATAGTTACTAACAAAAGATTATTGATATTGAATATTTGAAATGAAACAAATTATGTACCTACCTTTATAATAGCTATCGTGAGACATACTAAATTAATATTTACCCGCGATTTTTAGTTAAATATGTTGCTACTGACTGCCTCGTTGGCCGAGTGGTCGCAAGTGCGACTGCCGGGCAAGGGGTCTCGGGTTCGATTCCCGGGTCGGGCAAAGTATTACTGGGTTTTTAAAAATCTCAGTAGTAGCACGGAGTCTGTAATTGTGCCCGGTATATGGCAATAGGCTCACCCCCTATTACATGGGACTCATAACATAAATAGTGAAAAGTGGGTGTTACATTGTACAGAGGCATTACCCCTTCAGGGATAAAAAGGCGTATATTATGTTATGTATGTTCCTACCTGCCTAAAATGAAATAAAGTATTTTTATGGAATAGGAGGCAAACGAGCAGACGGATCACCTGATGGTAAGCGATCAGCGCCGCCCATGGACACCCGCAACACCAGAGGAGTCACAGGTGCGTTGTCGGCCTTTTAAAAAGGAGTACGCTCTTTTCTTGGAGGTGTGAAGGTCATATCGGTTCGGAAATACCGCCGACTACATTTCATTTTGAAAAAAATAGGGATCCTTGGTAAAATTTGAATAATGTAACCGAAGGTATAGAAAAATGAGTCTTAAAATGTCTTTCGTCGAATGCGCTGCCGAAACTATTAGCGATAGAACAAAATAATGTACAACAATATTGAAGAACATCATAATGTCTACAAAAAACTCCGCGGTAGCATATGTCCAACTATTGTAGTTATGTCACTACAAGAATCCAAATGTCCAAAAATAAATAATTGTCTACCCCGTGCGAAGCCGGGACGGGCTGCTAGTCGTTAATAATCGGAAAAGTTAATAATAGAATAAGAATAATATATTTAGCAAAACAAAGGACAAATACACCTATTATTTAACAAAATGTGATAATGAATACATAGAAATCACAATCATAATTGCAAGGTAGACCAAAAATACATATTTCACAAGCTCTTACCCGCGACTTCGTTCGCATGACATTATTCATATTTCTTGTTAATTTATACTTTAATGACGCGACAACGTGTTGATTGGCGAGGCGTATTTGAGAGCTAGTATGATGAAACGGAACGTTTATTGTCTACTCAAGATGGCGACTGCGTTTTATCTGTCAGTGTCATTAAAATGAATTAATAAAACGAAATAATCTCCGTAATCCGAATTTTGCGTATATATGTTATCGACTCGAAATCGATATTTTTTTATGTTTTGTTATTCAGGTAATGTTTCGATCAAGTCTACCGTATCCCTTGACGAAATCTATATATATAAAAGAAAGTTGTGTTAGTTACACTACTTATAACTCAAGAACGGCTACATCGATTTGGATGACAATTGGTGGGGAGATAGCTTAGAACCAGGAGACGGACATAGGATACTTTTTCATCGATTTTTTTTTGTTTTACTTTTCGCCGAAAATCACGAACGCGAAGTGGAAAGAACGGGATTGCGCGTACGAAGTCGCGGGCTGAAGCTAGTTATTAATATAGATAATGATAATGATATCTGTAGTAGATAGGTAAATCTAAATAAACACCAATGAAATCATATAATACACCTTGCAAACAAAAGTAATTTAACTCAGTAACTCACAAGACATTAAGTTGGATACCAAAAGTGTAATAACTGTTGCTGCACTGTTGGTGCGGTGGCTGGGCAACCGGCTGCCGTGCAACGTGTCGCGGGTTCGATTCCTGCACGGAACAACACTTTGTGTGATCCACAAATAGGGTAGACGACTAATTTTTATTTTAATGTCCGTCTGGTAGATTATTTTAAATCATTACACACGTATTTTTTATTTTCTTACAGAAACGAATACTTTCGACAATATATTGATTTGAAATGTCGTGTGACGTCACTTCTATGTACATTTTATACCTAGAAATGACGTTTTAGCCCCCACTCCTAAACTTTGATTCGTTTTATCTAAGTATTGTTTTATTATACGACAAAATAAAAAAATACGTGTCTAATATTTTTTAAATACCTAACTTACTGACTAATTAGATTTTTAATTTTCATACCCTGTCATCATCCCAATTGTTGTTTCGGGTCTGGGTGTCATGTGTATGTGAACTTGTATGTTTGTAAACGCACCCACGACACAGGAGAAAATCCTAATGTGAGGCAACGTTTAAAAAAAGCTACAGACGGTATACGTACATTTTTTACTTTACCTCCCGTGCTATTCGATCATGTAACGTAGAACACAAAGTACCCTTTTGCTAACAGCTTTGGCTTTATAACTACGAATAATTTCATAATAAGTAACAGCCACGAAGTATTATATTAATAAATAGTACATGCAAGTTAGAGGCAATAAACCTTTACTGCCTCGTTGGCCGAGTGGTCGCAAGTGCGACTGCCGGGCAAGGGATCTCTGTTTCGATTCAAGGGTCGGGCAAAGTATTACTGGGCTTTTTAAAAAAATCTCAGTAGTAGCACGGAGTCTGGAATTGTGCCCGGTATATGGCAAAAGGCTCACCCCCTATTACATGGGACTCGTAACATAAGTAGTGAAAAGTGTACAGTGGCATTTAAGTGCCGTAATATATACGTCTACCTACCCCTTTGGGGATACAATGCGTGATGTTATGTTATGTAATAAAACTTTATAAGACTACGTTTAAAAAAAATCGACTACAACCCCCACTTTTATTAAAGTCGATTAATTAATTATTTTTATTTTAACTCGTCGAGTACCGGTTTTGTAGACACAATTATAGTACAATAGGTTGCGGTCACCGGTGACCGCTTGGTGTTTGACAGTTTAAATAAAACCATAATTTAGTAGTTTTGAAACGTCAACAAATATTAAAATATTGTCCTTTGTGTTTCGTCGTGTGAGTGTGGGTACCGGAGGCCCAGCTACCCTCCCCCTTCCCCAATCTTCCCAATCCCCGAATTCACAGTCCTCAAACTCCTAATCCCCAAAAAGCTGGTAACGCACTTACGCCTCTGGTGTTCCAGGTGTCCATGGGCGACGCCGATTGCTTACCATCAGGTGATAAAAAAAACACTTTTCTGACAATTGAATCAAAATCGGTTCAGCCAATCGCGAGCTAATTGGGCACGAACATACATACGTACACCGTACACGTACAGGGTAAACACAGAACTTTCTTTATTTGAAGTCGGTTAAAAATAAAATACGATTAGGGTAGATGACTATTTATTCCAATGTCCGTCTGGTAGATAGATTATTTAAAAACATTACACACTTATTTTTTACTAGCTATTGGCGCGCGGTTTCACCCACTTTGCTCGGCGCCTATTGGTGGTAGCGAGTTGTTTTATAGCCTATAGCCATCCTCGATAAATAGACTATCCAACACAAAGGAATTATTCAATTGGAATCAGTAGTTTCGGAGATTAGCGCGTTCAAACAAACAAACTCTTCAGCTTTATAATATTAGTATAGATTTTCTTAGGAAAACGAATAGTTTCGAAGATATAGGTATTGATTTGAAATATCGCATGACGTCACTTTTGAGTAAGATTTCTACTCTAAAATGACATATCTACCCCCCACTCCTAAAATTTGATTCGTTTTATCTAAGAACGTGTAAATACGTGTCTAATATTTGTTTATTGTCTACCTGACGGACTAATTAGATTTTTAATTTTCATACCCTGTCATCATCCCTATTATCTATTACAGTTAAAAATTAAAACAAACGACATTATTTTGACAGTCGCGGAGAACCTAACGGGTTACCGGGGCTCCGGTTCGAAGTGCAGGAGAAGGAACGGGGTGGTTTTTACTCAGTAAGAGTCTGACACTCCCTCCCGCCTCACCCAGGCGAGAGCAGTCATTCGATGATTTTCCCCCCTTAAAAAAAAAGTCTATGATAAAAATCTTACCTGTTTTCATCCTTGGATTCGTCTTCATCTCGATAATAGTCATCATCGTGGGCTAGGAGTAGAGTGCTGGGGTCCACGTCCACCTGGACGCTCTCCAGCACCATCAGGCAGTCTTCATTGCCACCGCCTACCGCACTTCCATCTAGAAATAGATGAACAATACATTTATATTTAAACGGTGACGGTAGGTCGAAATATTTTTCAACACCCCTGCTCTTCCCACGGGTATGTTTAAACCGATTTACAGCTGAAATTAGTATCAATCATTTCAAATGTGGGAGAGCCATGCTTCGGTACGAATGGGCCGGCTCGACCAGAGTGATACCACGGCCGAGCAGAAAACCGACGTGAAGCAACGCTTGCGTTGTGTTTCGTCGTGTGAGTGAGGTTACCGGAGGCCCAATTACCCCCAATCTATAAGAAAATAAGAGAATACAACTATAAATTAATTCGACGGCTTTATTATTAATTTTTGTTGAGGGTACTTAGTTATTTTTTTACAATTTTCATTTTATGAAGGCGCTTATTTCCCACCTTTTTTTTATTGGCACTGGCCCGCCACAGCCTCCCAAAACCGCTGCAACTCCTGTGCACCAGGATCTACAGTAGATACAACCATGAAGGCACCGTCCCAGGGACATGAGTAACTGTCTTGGTTCCCGCAACGAAGTGAATCAGAAGATATTAATAGAGGAGAAGATAAAAACGACAGTTTCCACTTCCCTCGGTGTATTACTGCAGGAGACAGAATGAATTAAGCCTAAAGGCACAAAAAGAGACTGTACAACTGGGCGAAGCTCAGTCGACAAGCACCACGGAATTTTGACTAAAATCTAAGTGGGTCCTATGTGTGTCTTATTCCCAACCTTTATGAAATTTATATCATTACAATAAACAATTTAAATCACTATAGGTAAAAACAACAAGAAAATATGATAATTATTAAATAAAGGCAGAGTGGTCGCAAGGGCGACTGCCGGGCAAGGGGTCTCGGGTTCGATTCCCGGGTCGGGCAAAGTATTACTGGGTTTTTAAAAAAAATCTCAGTAGTAGCACGAAGTTTGGAAATGTGTCCGGTATATGGCAATAGGCTCACCCCCTATTACATGGGACTCATAACATACATAATGAAAAGTGGGTGTTACATTGTACAGTGGTATAATGTGCACCTCTGCCTAACCCTTTGGGGGTAAAAGGCGTGATGTTATGTTATTAAATATTTCAACGGCTTTATTATTAATTTTTCTTGAGGGTACTTAGTTATTTTTTCACAATTTTAATTTTATGAAGGCGCTTATTTTATGAAATTTATATCATTACAATAAACTATTTAGATCACAATAGGTACCAATATTAGTTTATTATATCCAACTAAAAATTGTATCTGTTGAAACATCGGCTCCCAGTATAAAATACATTATACCCGCAACTTTCAACAAGCAAGAGGATAAACACTATATTACACTTCAATTTTTCTGTCGGTAGAAGCAGAAAAAAAACGAAAATTTTTCGCAAATTTTGTCCAAAATTACTCATTTAGAATTTGATATTTTAACACTATTACTAGACTCACCTTAGGTATCGCCATTTTATGTCTAAAACAATTACTGCTAATAATCTAACAATAAGACTTTAACACGAAAGTATTTTAATTCGCCTGCATTTTACTATTTGACTACTCGAGAACAAACATAAACTCCTTTTTTAATTCTTATTATCAATTTTAAACCAAATGTTAAGATTGTTTAAGGTTCAATTTAAAACTTCTAACGGCTAAGTTAGGAATGATGAACGTCAACCCGCCCCTACAGTCAGGCAACGGTGACTGACGTGGCAAGTCAGATTAACCATCTATCCATCTGTGGCGCATTGAAGAAATTACATTTTTAAAATAATAATTAAGCGTTAAAAATCTTTAGCTCCCACATTTACTTATTTATTTGGACTCCCAACCAAAGATGCACTTACATCTTATATGTTATACTATTATATAAAGCGGAAGAGTTTGTTTGTTTGTTTGAACGCGCTAATCTCCGTAACTACAAGTCTGATTTCAATAATTCTTTTTGTGTTGGATAGCGCATTTATCGAGGATGGCTATAGGCTATAAAACATCACGCTAAGACCAATAGGAGCTGAGCAAAGCGTGTGAAACCTTGCGAAAGTAGCTAGTATTAAAATATAATCCACCAGTAATTATGGTAACGTTGTGATCCTTCAGTTAAAGGGAATCACATCATGCGATTACACACAGCAATTGAATTAAATAATATCACAAAAACGTCAAGTACATATTATAAGATATCAGAAATCCAAATAACCACAAAATAACACAAGTAAGAACTAAAAAATAGGTCAAACAAGTCTTGAAAAAAGATGAATTTAAAATTTTCACGAATTTTATTATACTTTTCAAATAGCGGGTATTTGATATAAAGACACTAGCTGACCCGACAAACTAAGTACCGCCTAAAACTTTATTTCTTACCTTTTGAATCTTCCCAGGACTCCCACGATCATTTCAACACCAAGATAACCCAAATCGGTTCAGCCGTTCTCAAGTTTCAGCGAGACTAACGAACGGAAATTCATTTTTAATTATAGCAAGCGTGTGTTCGATGTCAGAGACAGATCGCGACTGGTTTGTAAGTAGAATGTGTTGCGCCGGCGTCGCGTCGATGCGTTATATCAAGGACAGTGGCATGGTGTGACTAGAGTAAAAAATGTTTTATTAATCGATCACTCTTTGAGTACCGTCATTATAGACACAATTAAAGAACAATACTCAAACTCAAACTCAAAAGCATTTATTTCAATTAAACCATAATTTGGCACTTTTGAAACGTCAACAAATATTAGTGTGTCAGTCTGTCCGTCAGTGAAGCTAGGCGCTCGTTCCAAAATGTCGATTCGAGTGGAGAAGAACGAGCAAGAAACTCCATTCGTTACTCTTTTAATAGGTGTGCGGACACCGGTGTCCTCGCGGTGTTTGACAGTTTAAACTATTATACAAAGCGGAAGAACTATGTTTTTTTGTTTGAACGCGCTAATCTCCGTAACTACAAGTCTGATTTGAATAATTCTTTTTGTGTTGGATAGCGCATTTATCGAGGATGGCTATAGGCTATAAAACACCAGGCTACGACCAGTAGGAGCTGGGCAGAGCGTGTGAAACCGCGCGGAAGTAGCTAGTGTATTATGAAGATAAAAATAGGTATTTATCTATATATATAAAAGAAAGTCGTGTTAGTTACACCACTTATAACTCAAGAATGGCAGAATAGATTTGGCTGAAAATTGGTAGGGAGGTAGCTTAGAGCCAGGAGACCGACATAGGATACTTTTTAACCAACATTTTTTTTTTAAATTTTACCAAAAGTCACGAACGGGGACGGGAAAAAATGGGATTACGCGTACGAAGTCGCGGGCAGAAGCTAGTTGTAACTAAAACATTGGTATCAAAACATGAGCTCTGGCCTTTTTGCGCCATCTTCACTGTTTAATTTTTTTGTGTGTTATTGTACTTTGTGTCTTCATAAATGCAAATGAACCATATTTCATTCTTTCTTTCAATTTACCATATTTCGTTCATTTTTGTGTCTATTTTTTTTATTATATAATAACCTATAATTGGCGACTGTATAAGCCTAATACTTACTGTTACTTTCATTATCACTTAATACTATGTTTTAGCGTCACCATTGTCATCTGAGGCTAGAAAATTGTATAGTTTAATTATGTTGTGTTGGAGCTTAAGGGCTAGTTAAACCTATAAACGGTTTAGCTGCTTTATTTTTAATATTGAATTTTGTATCCTATAATTGGGCTGACATTTTCCTCTACGGAAAAAAGCCCTTCTTATTAACTCGTCGAGTACCGGTTTTGTAGACACAATTATAGAACAATAGGTTGCGGTCACCGGTGACCGCTTGGTGTTTGACAGTTTAAATACAGATTAAAAAAAAATCACTTAATACTATGTATACAGAAGCTGTTAGTATACCTATTTAAATATATAAATAAATAAATTTGTATGTTTGTAAACACACGCACAACAGACAAAAATCCTCGGCCATTATTAATTAAAAAAGAAAAGGTACACATTTTTTTTAAGGGGGGAAAATCATCGAATGACTGCTCCCGCCTGGGTGAGGCGGAAGGGAGTGTCAGACTCTTACTGACTAAAAACCACCCCGTTCCTTCTCCTGCACGTCGAGCCGGAGCCCCGGTTACCCGTTAGGTTCTCCGCGACAAAAGGTATCTACACATTACCGGTATAATAAAGATTGATTTTATAACGATTTCACAAAAAAACTAGTGGAATGATTTAAAAAAAATGTCACCAATATAAAAGTGCATCTTTACTGAAGAACGGTTTAAAAAACTGACATTTTTAAGAGAGGAAATCATCCAATGACTGCTCCCGCGTGGGTGAGGCGGGAGGGAGTGTCAGACTCTTACTGACTAAAAACCACCCCGTTCCTACTCCTGTTCTTCGAGCCGGAGCCCAGGCAACCCGTTATGTCCTTCACAGCTCCGAAAACAACTGCTCAAGTCGCCAATTCACGAAGACGGAATCATAGGTATAACGAGGTAGTACCAAGTAATTAAAATCACAATAATTGGGTAGTTTCCAGGGTATCAAAATTAAAAATCTAATTAGTCCGTCAGTTAGATAATGAAAAATTATTAGACACGTATTTTTTTACTTTCTCGTATTAAGTTGCAATCTATACTAATCTATACTAATATTATAAAGCTGAAGAGTTTGTTTTTTTGTTTGTTTGTTTGAACGCGCTAATCTCCGAAACTACTGGTCCGATTTGAAAAATTCTTTCTGTTTTGGATAGCCCATTTATCGAGGAAGGCTATAGGCTATAAAACATCACGCTACGATTTATAGGCGCCGAGCAGAGCGAGTGAAACTGCGCGGAATTAGCTAGTACTTAGATAAAATTGCGCTAAGTTTAGGAGTGGGAGGTCGTTACGTCACAACGTGCTACAAAATGTGGCACGCTGTGACGTCACACGATATTTCAAATTAATATATCGTCGAAAGTATTTAATATTGTAAGAATACGTGTCTAAAGTTTTAAATTAATCTACCACATAACATCATAACATCACGCCTTTTATCCTCGATGGGGTAGGCAGAGGTGCACATTATACCACTGTACAATGTAACACCCACTTTTCACTATTTATGTTATGAGTCCCATGTAATAGGGGGTGAGCCTATTGCCATATAATGGGCACAGTTCCAGACTCCGTGCTACTACCGAGATTTTTTTTTAAAAAAACGAGGGAATCGAACTCGAGACCCCTTACCCGGCAGTCGCAATTGCGACCACTCTACCAGACGGACATTAAAATAAAATTTAGGAAACCGTATTTACCTTTTCCAACAGAAAGCTCAATGAACACAGGCTCAGCTTCCTTCGCGTCTTCAATTTCTATGGTCTCCGAGGCCTGTGGTTGGGGATCTGTCTCTACGGGGGCCAGGTCTGCCAGGAGGGCGGGGTTCGGCACCTTGTTCTTGATGTGGTAGTTCGTTATCATGTCTTCTATGTCCTCTTTGTGGTCTATTGGTGGCGGTGGGGGTGCTGGGGGAGCTGTGGGTGCACTGGAAATAAGAATTAGTATGCTAAAATAAAGATTCTGGTTTAAACGCTGGATCAATTTCACTAATTGTTTTTTTTATAATAACTATCGTGAGACATACTAAATTAAGTAAAAACGCGGGTTACTCACGTGAATATACTGAGAAAAGCTCTACAAGCGACGTCGCCGCGACCGCGCACGCTGCTCATGAGGAAGAACCCCTCTGTGGTTCGAAACTAGTAGAGCTTTTCTCAGTGTATTCACGTGAGTAACCCGCGTTTTTACTTAATTGTTTTTTTGTTGTATTTGTTATTATTAGGTTCTTAACTCGTCGAGTACCGGTTTTGTAGACACAATTATAGAACAATAGGTTGCGGTCACCGGTGACCGCTTGGTGTTTGACAGTTTAAGAAAGAAAAAATCTTGAAAATCCTACGGGAACGGGAGAAAACGCGTACGAATTCGCCGGCAGAAGCTAGAATAAAATAAATAATAGCCTGTCAGTCTGTCCGTCAGTGAAGCTAGGTGCTCATTCTAAAATGTAGATTCGAATGTATGTGTAGAAGATTTCTTGCTTGTTTCTTGCTCTTGGAGAAGAACGAGCTTTTTCTCCAGGAGCAAGAAACTCCATTCGTTACTTTTTTTCCCTTTTTTTTTCTTTTTCTGTTACCCAATCTTCTCAATCCCTGAAGCCTCTAATGAGAACCTAACGGGTAACCGGGGCTCCGGCTCGACGTGCAGGAGAAGGAACGGGGTGGTTTTTAGTCAGTAAGAGTCTAACACTCCCTCCCGCCTCACCCAGGCGGGGGCAGTCATTCGATGATATTCCCCCCTTAAAAAAAAAAAAAAAAATCCCCAAAAGGCCGGTAACGCACTTGTAACGCTTCCTTGTTTCCGGTGCCCATGGGTGACGCCGATTACTTACCATCAGGTGATCCGTCTGCTCGTTTACCATGAAAAGTACCACTACAAAAGGTACCAAAAATCCCTTACCTCTGTACAACAGCCACGCGATCATTGCTAACGCCATTTTGTTTATTCCCAACTTTAGTTTTATTGGACAAAGCTTCCCTTTGCAAGTCATCGATCATTTTCTCAGCGTCCACCAGAGAAGGGACCTCACATGTCTCTGGCTGCGTAGGGGACGGGGTTCTGGACTTTTGTGGTTGTATGGGTGACCTGTCCCGTTCCGTGGGTGATACGTCCCGTTGAGTAGGTGATCTGTCCCCATGAGTGGGTGATCTGTCCTGTTGTGTGGGTGATCTATCCCGTTGTGTGGGTGATCGGTCCCGTTCTTTGGATGATCTGTCCCGTTTTATGGGTGTTCTGGCTTTATCTTGTTGTATGGACGTTCTGGCCCGTTTTGTAAGTGATTTGTTTTTTTCTGTGGGTGAACTGTCCTGTTCTGTGTGTGATTTGGTTAGTTCTTTTACTGGTGATGGTGATTTAGCTTTAATTGGTGATTTAGCTGGTGACGGTGATTTTTGTTTGTCTTCTTTTGTTGGAGCTGTTGACGTGATTTCGTTGGGGGGTTTGTCATTTGGGGGCGTTTTCTGCAATCAATAATGTTAAATTGTTGAACACTGAAATACTGTGGCAAAACAACACCACGACGCGGTAATTGTACCCAAGACCACCTGCCAGCACGCTGGACAATTGCACACATTGTCCCAATTTTAAGTTAAGTAAATTAACAGTCTATCTTGATATGCCAGTTTAGATAACTAGTAGTAATCGATTAGATAGAACTAACTGGATGTACTCACGAACTTGGATTAACCGTAATTGACTGCCTAGTTGGCCGAGTGGTCGCAAGTGCGACTACCGTGCAAGGTTCGATTCCCGGGTCGGGTAAAATATTATTGGGATTTTTTTAAATTCTCAGTAGTAGCACGGAGTCTGGAATTGTGCCCTATATATGTCAATAGGCTCACCCCCTATTACATGGGGCTCATAAAATAAATAGTGAAAAGTGGGTGTTACATTGTACAGTGGCATAATGTGTACTTCGGGGATAAAAGGTGTTATATTATGTAACTTGAATTAAATAAACAGTTTCTATTAAAACTGTCGTAAGACATACTAAATTAATTATTATGTTGTTGGCTTACTCACGCAACTATTTGACGAGGAACTCGACTAGTTTCAAGTCATGCTGGAGGCTCATTCATAATGATACATTTGATACACTGAGCGCGGTATGTAACACTGTTTTTGCGTCGACTCGGGTTTCGTACCTAAGACCTACGCAGCCGCCGGGCGAGCGAGTCTAGCGTGCCAGAAATGTCGCGCGCGCCGCCGCCGCCGATACCACGGATAGAGGAGCGTGCGCGGGAGTCCCGGCAGAGGGAGCTGGGACCGCACCACAACGGAGTCGATTAGCCAGTACTACAGTAGCAGCGCGACAGTCACCGCGTCGCGAGTCGCGGAATGCTGCTCATGAATAGGAGCCTCTAGCATGACTAGAAACTAGTCGAGTTCCTCGTCTAACAGGAACGTATGTAAGCCGAAAACATTAACAATCACAATTAAAAGTAGTTACATTAAATTTCTCTCACCTTAACATCCAATAGCAGACTAGGTACCACCTTGCTCTTAAGTCGCACTTTACCCCTAACATTTTCGTAATCCGTGGTGCTAAAGTGTCGGCTGCAGACGACCGTGCCTAATAACAGCTTGCCGGGGATAGGGATCAGCTCCAACCATTTCCGACGCAACGTACGGCTCGTTGGGAACCTGGAAACAACGTAGCTTCGGCCGTTAGAAAATAAAAACGTCAAGAAATCCTCATGGACTTCCCACGCTGTGGGGACGACGAGGGAGGTGTACCGGACTCTTAACGGCTAAAACCAGTCGCGGAGAATCTAACGTGTAACCGGGGCTCCGGCTCGACGTGCAGGAGAAGGAACGGGGTGGTTTTTAGTCAGTAGGAGTCTGAAACTCCCCCCTTAAAAAAAAAACGGCTAAAACCACCGCGGTGTTCTTCGAAGGACCCGGGACGCCCTTGCGGATTCACCGCACCCGGCAGGCCTCGACCTACCACTATATTGCGGCAGATCCCACCACGTAGTAGCCCTCAAAAGCCGCGATTTCCTTCCTCGAGTGGCGCGCGTGAACACACCGCTAACGCCTACTCCCGCCCAAATGTTGCCATACTAGGATTTTCTCCTGTATCGAGGGTGCTTTTACAAATATACAATTTCATATACATATGACACCCAGACCCGGAACAACAATTTTATTTATGGTCGACACAAAGATTTGCTCCGTGCGGTAACTCGCAACACGTTGCGAGACACTGACAGCCCATTGTCGTGCAACGTGTAGCGATTGTGTGTCTGTACGGTACTGAACAGGGATCATTTAAAGTACGATCTCTAACCTAACCTAACCAGTCTACCAATGATTTTTGTATTGAGATTACAGCGGATACATTTCGGTGAGTGTGCGGAGGAATTGTACGACTTGATTCCCCCTAGTCCTTTCCATCATCTACCACAAGACAATTGACGCGTCACCGATTCACGGTAAATGTCCCACCTACACGCACGAAGCGCCTTGCATCAAGTTTCCTTGTGCGTAGGTACTGCCAAGGAGTGGAATTCTTTGCCAGAGTCTGTATTTCCTGAAGGGTGTCTTCAAAGCCCGAGTGAACAGGTTGCTTATGGGACGACGTGCTCCATCGTAGACCGCATCATCGTGCACCACCAGGCGAGACAGTGGTCAAACGTCGGTCCATCGAATATAAAAAAGCAAAACTCATTTTACAGAGGAGGTTCATAATCCTTTTTTTAAGGGGAAAAGTCACCCAAAGCCGGGAGAAGGCTTTGGATGACTTTTCCCCGGGTTTCCTTTTTTGCCCGGGTGAGGCGACAGGGAGTGTCAGACTCTTACTATAATACATAGCCTGGCAGTATGATGAACTGCTGATGATGACGATGCCGATGATGAGATGATATAATAAATATATAAGGCACAGCCTGCCTGCTTCTATATAAGGCACAGGTGCGGCCCCACATGGAATACTGTTTTCATCTTTGGGCGGGGGCACCCCAGTACCAGCTTCTTCCTCTGGACCGCATTCAGCGGCGTGCCGTTCGGATTGTTGGATGTCCGAGTGTTTCAAAGCGGCTCGACACTTTGGCAATGCGTAGAGATGTAGCTTCATTGTGCATTTTCTACCGCTTATACCACGGGGTGGTAGTGCTCTGAGGAATTGTTTTACCTGATACCTGCCGCATCTTTTCGCCATCGACCCTCAATATGCATCCCCATCATATAGATGGTTGGCAGGCCACAACTGTGCGGTTCTCACGTAGCTTCCTGCCTCGCACAGCAAAACTGTGGAATGATCTGTCGTCGGCGGTATTTCCGAACCGATACGACCTTCAAACCTTCAAGAGAAGAGCGTACTCCTTTTTAAAGGGCCGGCAACGCACCTGTGACTCCTCTGGTGTTGCAGGTGTCCATGGGCGGCGGTGATCGTTTACCATCAGGTGATCTGTCTGCTCGTTTGCCTCCTATTCCATAAAAAAAAAAAATACTTACTCGAAATAGAAAGTTTCTTCGTTTGTAATTTCACAGCCTTCTACACAACATGGACCCATGGCGAGTGTGGCAGGTGGCTGGAACAAACAAACAGTATTTTTAATTAAACTATGTATGTATGTCAGACAAACATCAAACCTTCTTCGTGTGAGAAGAGACTTTTGGTCAGCAGTGGCCACTGTTGATGTGGTGTGCGTATTTTAAACAAATTTTAATTGTGGGAGAGCCATGCTTCGGCACGAATGGGCCGGCTCGACCGGAGTGATACCACGGCCTCACAGAAAACCGACGTAAAGCAACGCTTGCGTTGTGTTTCGTCGTGTGAGTGAGGTTATCGGAGGCCCAGCTTCCTCCCCCCTTCCCCAATCTCCCCAATCTCCCCAATCCCCGAATCCCTAACAATCCTAAAACTCCTGATCCCCAAAACTGTCGCCGCCCGGTAACGCACTTGTAACGCCTCTAGTGTTCCGGGTGTCCATGGGCGACGCCGATTGCTTACCATCAGGTGATCCGTCTGCTCGTTTATCATATGCCATAAAAAATATATACATAGTATTAGGCCTTTTAATCCCCGAAGGGATGGGAAAAGCACACACATGTAATTATACCTCATTGGATTTGCAATTGGAGTACTTGGGTCCGATTCTCAACTTTTAAATTTAAAAAACAAGTTCATAGCTTTTAGTTTAAATATTATTGACTAGTTACGGTTTTGTATCCTCAACAACCTATAAGTGCCACATCAAAGGCCTCTTCTCACATGAAGAAGGTTTGAACATTAGTCACCACGCTTGTTTAATGCGGGTTGGCGATTTCAAACTTATAATTAGAAATTATAAGCCCAGGTTTCCTCACGATGTTTTCTTCCACTGTTTGTCAGTGGTGTCTGAATAATCTTAGAAAGTACATATAACTCGGAAAAAGGCACATTGGTATTAGCCGTTCGAACTCGCACCGCACATGCATGAGAAGCGGACGTCTTAAAGTATCATTTAATTGTATACTATTGGGAATCTTTGTGGTAGAAGAAAATGAGGTAATGGCCTTGTCGCCTTCCAACCAAGATTCCACTCAACTCATCTGCTCATAGTCTTGTGACTGATTGCCGATCTTAAGCAAGAAAAAACCTAGGTAGTGAACTTGACAACTCAAAGGTAGCATAAGGGAAGATGTGCTCTATCGTAGGCCGCATCATCGCTTACCACCAGGTGAGATAGTGGTAAACATCAGCCCATAAAATATATAAAAGAAAGAACTACATATATAGAATAATCAATTCCACTACCAATCTCTCAGCAGTTTCCACTGATATTGTCAAGTATGCCAAGGAAATGAAAAGATTTTAATTTATAAGTATCAGGGGACAAAATGAGATGTTTTGAAGTTTTGTTCATAGAGTAATGCCTTTTGATCACCAAGGGATAGGCAGAGATGCACAATTATACAATTTAACACCCACTTTTCACCAGTACTTTTTAAAAGTGTGTAGGCAGAGGGTGAGTCTTATGCCATGCATCGGTTAACTGGGCACCAAGTTTTCACTGAATTTTAAATTTCAGAAAATTCCAATTACAAGCATTTGCCTAGCTCAGAAATTGTACCCTCTTGTTTCATTGTGGTGTATGCTGTGCCAACAAATAAATTAGATTCTATAGTAATATTAATTCCTCTAATTTTATTATCCCTTAATGTATAGTGCGAAAGTAAATTTCAAACAAAAAAATACAATTATAATTTAAATTCCACAATCAATAAACGAAACAAGTTATAAAATTAAAAAAGAAACAAATTAATTTTTCCCATAATTAATGTAAATTACTCATAGATGGCAACCCTATTGAATAGAACCGAAAAGCAATAACCAGTCGCACAGCCGTATTCTGGAACCAACATCGCAACGACAACGTACACACAACATCGACCTTATTACTATGGAACATAAAGCTCATATTTCCATATCAACAACACCAAACTCGATTGAACTCATGAAGCGATTTCCAGAATAACACCGCGGCAATAATTAATGCAATGGGTTCTAAAATTAATATATAAACATTAAAAAATATAAATAATAGACAACTATTGTTTGTAAACATTTGTTATTACATTTTACGCGCGAAAACACACACGGGAAGGTTAGAAATAGAATTTGAAAATACTACGGCTTACCTTGGCTTGAGACGTTTCTGTCTTATTATACTGCTCTTTTTGTTACAGCATTATTATTATTCAACTCTTCATATACACATTTTCACATAAAATACGCAAAAACCCGGTTTATTGTTTAATTTTTAGCCTGAAAAATATTTACTCGATCTTTTTTTTTACACTTTTGACAAGTGATAGTGTTGTATCCGAAACACACTATATGTTACAGATTATATATGCACTGCATTTTAGTCGAGTAACTATTCGACTTGTAAAGTGCACTTTATCTTATAATTTAATCATTTTGTTGATTTTCAATGTTAAAAGCTATTTAGGTATGTAAGAAGCTAAATTATCACACATTTAAGCTTGTATGATTAAATAATCCCGATGATAGCAAATATGTTATGTTTACAGTGATCATACATATAGTTCACAGTGTAATCTAATAGATGGCATTTGGGTGGCTGCTTATTCCTAGGGGACCAAAAATTACAAAAATGTAAATTGTATTCTGTACAAGTAGATAAGTAGATTAACAAAACAATTGACACAGACTGACTCTACTACTCTCTTTTCTCTTGAAAAAACCATTTTAACTTATCATATCATAATTGTTTATTGATTACATCAATTAATTAGGAATATCAGCAAAGTATTGTATCCGTCCTGGGAATCTAACCCGGGACCCCTTGCTTAGCAGTCACTTTTGTGACTACTCGATTAACGAGACAGTGTTTTGACAAAAGTTTTTTTTTATGGGATAAAAACGTAAACGAGCAGACGGATCACCTGATGGTAAAAACAATCGGCGTCGCCCATATAGACACCTGGAACACCAGAGGCGTTACAAGTGCGTTACCGGCCTTCTGGATTAGAAATTTGAGGATAGTTGGGGATTCAGGGATCGGGGAACGGGGGGAGGGGTAATTGGACCTCCGTTGGGTACGGTTTGGGGGGTAGTTGAAACCATCACGCCTTCAGACAATATTAAACATTTCATTTGATTTGAAAGGTCAATATTGTGACGGGATTTTCACTTTTCCACACGCGTTCAAAATAAAAGACATGAAATAATTGGATTACTAACAAATATAATACTTTATTGAAACATAACAAAAAAATAATCTGGCTCTAATAACTTAGAAAATGTACAAAAACAATACATAATAGGAACCATTAACACTAAGTTAGATATTATATCGAGGAGACCAGCGTAACTTTCCAAAAACCTTCAATTTTTTTTACATATTATTTATATCCCGCGTTGTGAAGTAACTTAATATCAGCGTTGCCAGAAATCCCGATTTTGGCGGGACGTCCCGATTTAAAAATCAATATTAAATGTCACATGTGGGACAGGTCTAGTCCCGCTTTCGGGATATCCCGCTTTATTTATCCGGCTTTTATTTCCTCTGTTTTAGAAAGTTTAGAAGATTCAACTCCTTGTAGATAGGGTTAATCTGATTTAAATTATCATATTTTTACTAAAAATTATTTCAATGACGATATTTTATATTTATTAGTTAAAAATAGTTACAACTCAAATTAAAAAATTAATATTTGGTAACTTTTGATTTTATGCGTTTTTTACTAGGTCCCGCTTTCTAAAATAGAATCCCGCTTTTTCCACTGAAAATTTTTCAAAATCCCGAATTGGCAAAATGTCTGGCAACGCTGCTTTGCAACTTATCATCATCAATATTTTTATTGCTTTGTTTGAGGACAAGGGCGTAGTTCAATTTTTCAAATTAACTTTGAGTTAAGGATAAAGACGTCAATTGTTTATTTTTATAGAAAAATCATACAAGAGTCAAAGAATGAATCTTACAATATTTTCCGGCGAAAAATACACTCTATTTTTAACCGATTTCTCCATAAGAACGAAGTTCTTTGTAAAATCTATTGTTTAGGAATCAATTATATTGTACTTACAGTTATTGTATTAATTTATTTTAACTGTACTACTAATAAAACACGGCACTCACGGCTTTTGACTTTACACTGGGCCCGTGTCGCGGAGAACCTAACGGGTCGCGGAGAACATAACGGGTTACCGGAGCTCCGGCACGACGTGCAGGAGAAGGAACGGGGTGGTTTTTAGTCAGTAAGAGTCTGACACTCCCTTCCGCCTCACCCAGACGGGAGCAGTTATTCGACGATTTACCCCCTTAAAAATACACTGGGCCCATGTACCCACAATTCACAATATGACAATCGGACAAATACACGAAAAATCATATTTGAGTGACATCAACAAGACTGAGGCTTGTATAAATTAATATTCTACCCATTTTTTATTGCTAATTTACCTGATGGTAAGCGACGAAGCGGCTTACGATGGAGCCTAGAACTTAATCTAAATAAAAAATATATGTCTACCATGAGACAACAGCATGCCTTTAAATAAACATGCATGTAAATAACAATAATAATAATAATCTGCGGCGACCGTTTCATGACTACAGTGCCGTATGCATGTATAGCTTCGATCAACAATAACAACTAGATAAAGGGTTACGTACAAAATCAAGCTCCAGTTCTGTCCGTGTGAATAATAATAGTAAAAAATAACAAACAGAGAAAAATGTTTTAAAATAGTTTTAAGTTCAACCTAATAAAAACCATGGCACCTAATAATAAAGTCATAAATCGTCAAAATATTATCTAATACTTACGACCATTCGTCATATAAGACAAGAAAAGTATTTTCTTACTCCTGTCATGTAGAAATTAAAAGACATAAGTTATACAATATCTAGTTTGAATTCAACCTTAAGGTCGAACAAATAAAGATAATTTTTCCATTATTGTCTTGCGATCTATATCGTTTTGTTTTGTTTCGTTTTGCTTCTTCAAATTTCGAATTTCGCTATAGGAGGTATGTATGGAGTCGCGTTGGACACTAAAATAATTTTATAATATGAAAATTAACATTTCGGGATCTTAGTATACATCACTAATTTTTATTAGCGGTACGTTTTTGTGTATGATATGTTTATTTACTTTATCGTTAAAAGTCTAAGTCTAAGTCAAAATTATTTATTTCAGTTATACCAGGAAGGCACTTTTGAACAACAACAATATAAATTTAAAAGTGAAGCTATTTGCTCATTCCAAGGTGTAGATTCCTATGGAGAAGAACGAGCAAGAAACGATACAATTTCTTATTTTTTCAATACAAATCGACTCCATGCATCCACTGTTCTGTTTATACAAATGTTGGCGAGACTTGGCCAAGGAATCGCCAACACACGCACAAACATTGGTGGCGTTGGTTTATAATTGATAATTTTGTCTAATTTGATATTATTTCCTAGTTTAAAAGCTTAAAATATAACTTATACTTTATGTACTTATCAAAAGTAAGACACTCCGGCCGTTATACTGCTTTTTCGGTTGTTATTTTTGCAACTTGCAATTACTCGTGAGACGTGAGTACGTTGGCCGTGTTTGGAGCATACTAAACAAAATAAGAGCTCACTTCTCAAGTGAGCTCTTATTTGTCGAGACGATTTTCTTGCGCTGACCCGATATCTAGTTGTTATTGTTGATCGAAGATGTATAGCCATCACATTTATTAAGTATGCAAGTAAGAAAATAAAGCTCAGTAGAGACTGTAGCTAATATAACAATTATTATTAAATAGTGAAAAGTGGGTGTTACATTGTAGTGGCATTAACTGAACTAATGTGCACCTCTGCCTAGCCCTTCGGGGATAAAAGGCACGATGTTATGTTGTTATTATTATACCAGACGAGATGGTGGTTAAACGCCATCCTACCACGTATAAAAAAATGTTTTTTAAACCAAGCCAAATCTTTAGTAACTATTGGTCGGCTCAGTAGCCAACCAATGGCTACTGTCTCTGTACTGAAACAATATTTATTTTTAACCGACTTCAAGAAGAAAAAAATGAAGTTCTCAGTTTGACCTACGTATGTCTGTGCGCGATTATCTAGCGATTGCCAGAACCGAGTTTGACGCGGTTTACAGAAGTGTTTGTAACACTTCTGTAAACCGATGTAATACCGGTTTTAGTATATTTTAATCAATTTTAAAAAAAGGAATAATTGTCGGTTTTTTTTAAACGTAGTATATAATCTTACTTGCATATTAAATAGTTGTACTGTACTTAACAATTTTCGCTACCTATCCTACTGCTTCACGAGCCTTAAAATAAACAATAACAAAGTGTTACTAAAATAATAAAAAAAAACAGTTACGTAAGTGAAAAAACATAATAATGAAGTCATACGCCCGAGTACTGAAACGTTACTCAATTCTAAGTCGCGCTTAAGTATTTTTCGAATTCGCCCCATCCCTAGTACTCGTAAAATTACGTGATCGGCGATTCAGATAATGGAGACGGTGACCACAATTTAATTAAACCTCCATAGTATTTATCATTCAAAACATTGAGAAATATCATACATACTACATCTTGAAATGGACACATTTTATATGGAGTTTGTGCACTATGAGAAGATTTTTAATAAATTATCGTGATTGTACGTATGTGGCGATTCGGACACAGCTTTCGAAAACCGTAATATTACGATGTCGGCGGTTAAAGGGTTAAGTATAGTTATAGTTTTGTCACCACTAATTCTTTGTGAAATGACAGAGATGGCACGATATTTAAGCACGACTTAAAATTGAGTAACGTTTCAGTATTCCGGCAAGAGATTCTTATAAATATAAGCCTCGCATCATTCATCGCAAGGATAATAAATAATTTGAAAATGACAGCGCATATGATTAACTAAAAAACTTTTATGCGGATAATTTTTCTCACAATACCCACAAGTAAATCCTCTACTCTCCAAATGGCACTGTTTATGCCTAAATAAATCTTCAAATTCGTTAGTTTTGTACCCACAAACATAACATATAAATTTAGATTCACCCGTATGTGTTAAAGTGTGTATAACTTTAGCCTTTTTTGAACGGAAACCCGTACCGCAGTATAAACATTGATATTTTTTAACACCGGTGTGTCTACTTATATGATAATTATAAGCTCTTCTGTTTTTACACACCTTACCGCACTCAACACATGGATAAGGAAAATCTGATTTTATATTCTTCTCTACATTACACTGTCCGTTCATCGGTTTCTCAAAATGTGTCAAAACATGCTGTTTAAACGAGTCCCGGTGCAATAGAGTATCACATTCTAAACATTTGAAAATTAGATCATTGTTATGTGTATACTTATGTAGTAAATAATCACAGTAATTAGGAAACGTTAGTTCACATTGCTTGCAAGAGAAAGTTTCTGAGTTATGTACGTTCCGATGTGTGATCAGACATGAATTACTTTTGAATTTCTTTAAACAAAACGAACAGGTGAACTTTTGAATGCGTTCATGGTATCGCAAGTGGCTTTTAAGACCTTGTATTGTCATGAATTCCTGCATACATATGAGGCATACTAAAACGTCGTCTTCGCATTGGTCGGCTTGTTCTACTGCCAAAGAAAACGGATCATCTGTTGATCTGAAAAAGGATGAGGATTTATGTTATTAATTTTATCTTTTGAGAGAATTAATAGTCCGAGATTACGCCGTAGTTTCCTATGTCCTAAAAATTTAGGAAGCAAACCTGTGCCAAAGTTTTTTAATAGAATTTTACTTTACGTTCAAATGTGCCTCCAAAAGTCCGGTTCTGACTTTGACTTTAAGTTAACTAGGTATGTCAATAGTGAGTAATTACGAAACAAATCAATTTAATTTTAAGAAATAAATTCAAAACTTACGTTCGTCCAGGATTCCTGAACTTATACTTCTTAAATATTTGATTTTCATCACCGTACACATCATATTCAGCAGATGCACTTCTGTTGGTCACGTCTGCTCCAAGTCGTTCCAGTTCAGTCGGTCGCTTCCTTGTTTTAGAGGCTTTACTATCATTAGAACTCAAGCTATCATCCACTATATTTTCAACCACATTTATCAATGACTTCTGTCCGAGAACTATTTCAGACGTCTTATGGATATCACTGTCTTTATTTCTATTTGAGATTCTATTAGCTTCGTGACTTATATCAATGTTATTATGGTTTAAATTAGATTCAGTTGGAGGCTTTGGTTTATTTCTTCCTAAGATCAGTACGTTGACATTGTTATATTCTAAATCAGAGTCTTCGTCACTTATTTCTATATGATCATTTAATATCACATCATCGTCTGAAGTTTCTATTTCAATAACGATAGGATCACTGTTTAAATCTTCTTCGAATCGTAATCTACTTGCCATTTCGTATTACAGCTTCTCTTTTTCTGAAATAGGACAGATAATTTTACTTTATAAGATTAAATATGGATGAAGGCGCAAGTGAATAGGTTGCTCATAGGACGATGTACTCCATCGTAGACCGCATCATCGCTTACCAGGAGAAACAGTGGTTGAAGCATCAAATATAAAAAAAATTAAAGTTAAGAGCAAACAATTACGATTTTTATTTAAGGTGCGGCTGCTAGATGCGGGCTATATCCTGCTAGTTGATTTAGAAGTCTTTTTAGGGGGTCTATGTTTAGCCATCCTTTTTTCTTAGGGGAAGGTCTTCACAATCATTTTTCATGTTTGTATGTGTATAAGGCAAGAAGTATTGTCAGAGTTTTACTAAGCCACCCCATTCCTACTTCTGCTTCGAGCCGGAGCCTCAGTAACTCGCTAAGTTGTCTGCAGCCCTCGTTTTTGGTAATAGACATTTTTAAGCGGGACACCATCCTTATTAGAAACTTAATAATAAATCGGTACCTACCAAATTTACTAGTTTCGGCTGTGGGCTATTCGTTTATCATTTAATCACTATATCATTAGAGTTTTATAGCTAGAAATCCTACGTATCGTATATTCTATCAAAATAGAAAACATGTAACTGTGAACTAATATTTTTTTCTGTATTAGCAAAATTAATGAATGGAAGCATTAACTTCTCTGTTTTCAGACAGTAGCGCGGTTAAATTACTACACTATTCCATATAAATAACATTATAAACTTGTTTACTTTCAGTTATTTTCTCAAATTTAATTCCTACTTGTAAAATTGTGTTCATATTTACACACGAATATTCAAAAAGATTCTAATAAATTAATGTTAACTTACACCGGATATGCAACTTTAGCCTATATAGATGGTAATACACGTGTTTCTTCAATTATCAAATTACATTTTCTCCTGATTTATATAAAACAAACTGCTAAATCGCAAAAATGCATTATTTTGATTTCTACTTTTTGACATGGCTAGTGTTGTACTACCTGTACGCGTATTAGTGTTTTAGTTAGTTACTATAATTGATCACAATGCATTGAATCGATATAAATTGTTTAAGAATCACCACACAAAATAAATACTAGTTACCCGCCCATTCCGCCTTTAGTTTTGCTATTAGTTTTTAAGAATCTCAATTAAATCTCCTAAAAAATCTCCCTATCCTGTATCGAAATATTTAAGACAACAGAAAGATTACCATATAACGGCAGTGAATTAACAGATTGATAGTAATTATGATTTGAGATACCGAAGTACCCAACAGTTATTTTATTTTATATTTGCCAGCGGTTTGGGAAGATATTCTATTTCTTATTATATTTTCTCGGCTCACACCACTTCAAAGTAGAACCGTCTTAGCCCTTGGCACACAATAATTGGGTAGTTTCCAGGGTATCAAAATTAAAAATTTAATTAGTCCGTCAGTTAGATAATGAAAAAATATTAGACACAGATTTTTTAATCTCTCGTATTAAGTTGCAATACTTAGATAAAAGGTCGTTACGTCACGTGCTACAAAATGTGACACGCTGTGACGTCACACGATATTTCAAAATAATATATCGTCGAAAGCATTTAATTTTGTGAGAAAAGATAAAATACGTATCTAACGTTTTAAACTAATGTACCAAACGGACATTAAAATAAAATCTAGGAAACTACCCTATTCGGGGTTACACCCCGTTCCTTCTCCTGCACGTCGAGCCGGAGCCCCGGTTACCCGTTAGGTTCTCCGCGACTCCGAATCGGCATCGGCCCTATTGGGCCCCATCTGTGGTGGTCTGATGGCTCTTTGAGGCGCGCGCGGAACGCGACGCCATTTGGAGTTTTCTTTAACATTGCCCCACACTTCTCCTGTATCCTGGGAATTTTCAAACATACAAGTTCACATACACATAACACCCAGACCCGGAACAACAATTTGTGGATCACACAAAGATTTGCTCCGTGCCGGAATCAAACCTGTGTGTCCTTGGCGACCCCCTGAAGATGGGATCCTGCCCTGAGCACGGATCCTGAGTTTTCTGGGAAAGACACGGTACTGCTTACGCCAACTTTGGTGAAATTCGCCACTACTAGTACAGTATAATTTTTTTTAGTGCAGTCAGTTTTTTGTGAATACTTGGTTTGTCAAAAATTGATATTCTTTTCCAAACTAGTGCATTATGCAGTTGGCCCAGAATTTATGATTTCATAATACTGAAGCACTATCCATAATGTAATATTATAAATCGGAAAGTGAGTTTGTTTGTTTGTTCCGCTTTCACGCCGTAACTACTTAACCGATTGCTTTGAATTTTTGCAGACGTAAAGTTCGAAGTCCGGATTAAATAATAGGGTACTTTTTATCCCGGAAAAATTGATATTTCCGAGGAAAAATAAAAGTATTGGTATAGATGGTGCTGTGTGTATATGTATATGTCACATAGGCTACTTTTTATCCTTTTGTGACGCGAGCGAAGCCGCGGGTAAAAGTTAGTTAAGAATAACGTAAGCAAAAATACAGATAAAGGGTTGTTCAAAAAAAACAAATAAATGGTTTTTATAGATTTTTTATTACAATTATTGCAGTTAAAATATCAATTATAATTATTTTTAAAAAGGTGATATTATTGATGTTCACAGTTGAGTTGAACAGAGAAAATTACAAAGGCACTTTTTTGTACTTATTTTTTTTTATAGAAATATTAAAAATATAAAACTTTTTAATTAATAATTTACTTAGGAACTAATGTGTTGATAAAATTATTTAAAAAATTCAATTCTATGTAAACTATCTATAACTATAAATATATATAACTATAAATTAAATAAAGTATTTATTAAATAAGGTTTTTACACAACTTTTCAACAATTCATGTTCAACATGGCCGCCTCTGTTTCTAATACACTGTTGCATTCTTCTACGGATATTTTTTGGCTACATACAGACTATTAAATTTATTATAATTATAACAATATATTAGCTATATTTTTCTTTTCTTTTTGGGGGTATATCTAAAGTGCAAAACATTCCAAAAACCGTGCAATACACTCGAAATTAAAGCAAAAATATAACTTACATAATAAAACAATAGACATATCACATTTGGAAGCATTTTAAATGCCATTCAAAATCATCAGTCTTATAAAAAAAATGTATATTTTTCATTTTTTAAATAAATTATATTTTCTCATATATTATCTATGTTCATTTACAACAATGAACAATTGTAATTAAAGTATTTAATAAAATAGAATGTATAATAAAAGGTCGAAGGGCCAGTAAGCTTAGACCCCGCATATGCCTTCCAAAGATGGTCCTTAAAATGAAAAGAACAAATTATGTCTAATAAAATAATGTCACAATATTATTGTACACATCAACGCTCAAATCTAATCTCTATGATGTTTTATCAATAATATTTTTAACTACCTAACATATCAATACTATTATAATAATTAACTATACAACTACAATTACTACTATACTAAATGACCTACAATAAAGAAAAACAAAAAATATGTACAAGGCACTTAAAGAAACTAAAAAATAAGACTAAAACTAACATACTTATATACATCACTAATTTATTTAGTACACTCTGTCTTGGTACCCAGTGTCCTGTGAAGGCTTAAACCGCTTCACTTGAGCCTGATGCACATGTCCCTCATTCGGTCGCTTGCGGTGATAATACTCAAACATACTCTGTTTGTGTTGTGCCAACATGTTTGCCAAGTCACATGGCAAGGGATCCGTCCAGAAGAAATCATGATTAAGAGCTGCTTCCGTACCACATCTCTTCGACGGATCCAACTGGAGCATTTTGTCTAGAAGGTCACATGCGTATGGGTCTCGGACGTAGGGTTTCAAACGCTCCTTGACTCTCCGTTTCTGTCCTTTAGGCAGTTCCATTTTGGAGTACAGAGGCAGTTTCTCTACTCCTGGCCATACGTCAGGGGTGATGGAACCGCAGAGCTGTGAGATGAGAGTGAGTTGCTGCTGCTCTGTAGACCCTTGCATGATAGGAGTAGGGATCCACATTTCTGCCATGACACATCCAACTCCCCAAATGTCGATCGGAGGACCGTAGTTCCGTTCACCTGTTGAAGGGTTTATGTTTTTTGTTAACAGCTAGTATACAATACCTACTACACACTGCAACTGGCATTACTTTTTTTTATAAAGCCATAAGAGGGTAGAATAAAAAAAATAAAAGGGTAGAATTATAATAATGGATGGTTATTTTGTTAAAAAAAGATAAGAGCAGCCAACCCACATTTCGAATGCAGTGATTAACTCGTCGAGTACCATCATTATAGACACAATTATAGAACAATAGGTTGCGGTCACCGGTGACTGCTTGGTGTTTGACAGTTTAATGCTCAAACCTTCTCCGCGCGAGGACTTTGCTCAGCAATGGCCTCTTATAAGCTATTGATGATGAGGATGTGTTGAATATGCAAATGAACTACCCTTATCATATTGTGCAAGTAATATTCTTGATTCTACATAAAATTAAGGAAATACCTACTTAAATTAATAATGTTACATGAGTCAATTTTATTATGAAATCATGTTATGCAATATCATACTGGGGCTTTCAACAATAACTATAACAAGTGACCAATTTGAACCCGTCATTATGGCTCTAGACAGACGGACAGCATTTCAACTGCAGTTTAAATGCAGTTGTGCCACAACTGCAATTGAATGTGCAATCTGGTTGCAGTTCTATTGCTGTCATGATAAAACAATTGCAAACTAAACGAGCAGTCCGATTGCAGTTCTATTGAAGTTGAGACAGAGAGAGAGAACAAAAAATAGACAAATTAATACAATTTGCACTATAAATTACGAGTGAGGGTATTCAAATAATTGACACAAAAAGTTCATCTTACCTTTTCTCAAAAAAAAATTGCATCCCATTTATATTTAAAATATTATTTTACAAAAACTATATTTGAAAACTGTTTAAAATACTTATGAAACAGTTATACAAGCCAGTAAGGAGTTATTTAATGAGATTCATACTTAATTTTTTTTATCTACCTGCATCTAACTAGGTATAAAAAGTAGGTTACATTTAAAAAGGTGAAATATTGAAAGGAACTTACCCAAAAGCAGCTCTGGAGGCCTGTACCATAATGTGACAACTCTATTAGTGTATCTGTTGACTTTCCCAGTCTGTGGCGCGCTGTATGCCCTCGATAGACCAAAGTCAGTCAGTTTCAGAGTCCCATTTTTTGTAATCAACACGTTTGAGGGCTTCATATCCCGATGCAATATTTTATTACAATGAATATAGTACAACGCATTCAATAACTGTTGCATCACCTTCTTAATCTCTCCCAGAGTAAATTTCACCTTCGGATTGGACAGCAGACCAGCCAAGTCGTGTTCACAAAACTCAAAAACCAAATAGAAGGTTGATCGGTATTTGTTCTCGATTCCTGGCTTCGTACGGCAAACTTCGATTAAATTTACCACGTTGTCATGATTAAGACATTGTAGGATTTTAATTTCACGGAGCGCAGTGATTGGGAATCCCTCTTTTTCGTTCTCCATTAGAACTTTCTTCATCGCAACGAAGTTGTTGGTGCTCGCTCGAGCTTTGAACACTTCTCCGAATGTGCCTTGACCGATTTTCGTCACCTTTTCATATTTAGATGATAGATCACATGAGGTAAATTGATAATCTTCGATGTAACGACATAATTCTACCTTCATTATTTTGATTTTCACTTTAAAATTGGTGGAATAGACAACACAACACAGTTCCACAACATACGTCAAATGACAATATTGACACTAGGTCAGTAAGTATGACTCGATTACGTCAAATTTCAGGGCTGTCAATTCTCAAAACTACTTTTCCCATTATTTTTCCACGCCACCAGAATTTTTTTACGGCTCACATTAGGAGTTTCTCCTATGTCTTAGGTACATTTACAAACATATATCACACTCAAACCCGGAACAATTATTTGTGGATCATACAAAGTGTTTCTATGAGGGAATCGAACGTGCGACATGTTGCACAGAAGCCAGTTGCCCAGTCACCGCCCCAACCAAGATTTCAAATAAAACATGTTTGTAAAATTATGTGCTGTACTGATTGTTGATAATTCTTTGCATTAAATAAGTTCCGGTAAGTACTTGAGCGATTAAAAAATTTTTTTAGTGTTGGAATAATAATCTTTAATTATTTCATACCTAACATAGGCTACTTTTTGTCTTGATATTCACACACAATTGAGACCTATGCGAGATTAATATTATTCAAATTCTGCAGACGAAAGAAAATAATTTACTAATTGTCTAAATGTCTCTACAAATTTACCCCTAAATTTGGGTAAAGACCTTACTTTGGGTACCCTACATAAATTCATGTCACTTTTGGAATAGACATGTTATTACACGTTTTGTGTTCGAATTATCATTACTAAGATAACTGGCGTACATAAAGTTATTCAATATTTATAATTAGTAAGTAACACATGATTCATGATAAAAAATTGTGTTCTAAGAAATTAAAAAGAACTACATCGTTAGTCGAGTATTCGTAAGGATGAAGAAAAAGGTTTCTGGTTCAATTCCCGGATTGATGATTTGAACCTACAACGCGTTACGCAGCAGATAGTTGCTCTACTACTGAGCTATCGGTGAAGTTTCTGCCACTATTCGTGTATTTAGTATTATGCATGTCTTGCAGCATTCTGCCTCGTTGTTCATAAACATAATTTTGTAATTTTTCTCTATAAGTGCGACTACCGACATAACATGTATAATATTATATTGCGCCTACCGACCTCGAGATTTCGAAGGGAAAAGAAACAAATAAATTTTATCAAATGTTTATATTTATATTTGAAAAAACCCTTAAATAATATTAAAGGCAGTGTTTACATTTATCAAAAGTAGGTATTTTAACATTCATCACCTTACAATGTTTGTTGAAATATTAGTACTATTTCGCGCCACTTTTTTTCTTTTTTTAATCTTTATCACATATACAAGCTTAGGAACTATAACTTAAAGTCAATTAATTAAGTATACAAAATATTCTAATGATGGATTAATATTTATTTTAATTTGATATATTTCTTTCTACTCACAAATTCTGCAAAAATTTTTAGGATGAAGATAATATAAAAATTGACAGAAATAATTAAACTGTAATAATACCACAAGCCACAATTATATAGTAAGTTTAGATACTTTACAAACAATATTTTAATTAAACTGTCAAAGACCAAGCGGTCACCGGTGACCGCAACCTATTGTTCTATAATTGTGTCTACAAAACCGGTACTCAACGAGTTAAAAATCAACTAATATACTTAATTATTGAAAATAATTAATTTCACAAAATATCAGCATCATTGTCTATACAATTTTTAAATTTTTTATCTACAATGCAGACTTCATACACACAGCAAAGTATATTATCTACAGTCAGCGCAGCTATTGTAATACGCACTATGCAGGTAATATAAAGATTGATTCTGTACACAGTAACCATTGGTTGGCTATTGACCCCATTAATTCATATAGAAGATTTTTTTATGGAATAGGAAGCTAACGACTTGACGGAACATCAGATGGTGAGCGATCAGCGCCGCCCATGGACACCGGCAACACCAGAAGATGTGGGTTAACGTTATAGTTGAGTAATAGTTTATTAATGGCTACTATCTCTGTACTGAGTCAAACTTTGTTTTCTTACCTGCACAGTATATAAAGGTGGCCATACACGGTAGGTTTTGCATGATGATGGTTTTAGCCATGCATGCAAAACCGACAGGCAAGCCCTAGCGTGTATATGATTAAACTGTAAAGTTATCGGTGGATGTATGTACATACAACCGAGCAAATATCAAAATCCATATATTATGCCGCTCTGTTATGTTTGCGCGCGAGCATAACCCAGCGTGTGTGGCGTCCAGCGAGCTTGCCTGCCGCAGTTCTCAGTTTTTTTTTTTATTTTATCAGTACTTTGGTATTGGCGTCCTACACACACCGTCACGTACTATGTAGCTCACTCAACTGAGAGATCGTGGCAAGATGGTGCATGCAAAACCTAACAACGTGTATGTGTGGTTTGAAACTCGGTTATGCTTGTCGATTTTGCATGCAAAGTTATAACCATCATGCAGACCCTAGCGTGTGTGGCCGCCTTAAGAAAGAGCCTTATCTTCCTACGGCTGCGGAGCGGAGAGAACGCGCCGCGAATGCATCGCGAACACGTCGCGGACGCGTGGCAAATACGTTATGTTTGTACCAAATTATCACCGTACAATGATGGCGTCTACTTCGCGGCGTGTTCGCTTTGCGTCCGCAATGAATTGGGTAGTTTCCAACGTATCAAAATCAAAAATCTAATTAGTCAGTTAGATAATGAAAAAATATAAGAAACGTATTTTTTTTTAGTTTCTCTTATTAAGTTGCAATACTTAGATAAAATGGCGATAAAGTTTAGGAGTGGGAGGTCGTTACGTCATAACGTGCTACAAAATGTGGCACGCTGTGACGTCACACGATGTTTCAAATGAATATATCGTCGAAAGTATTTAATTTTGTGAAAAAAGAAAAAAATACGTGTTTAAAGTTTGAAATTAATGTACCAGACGGACATTAAAATTTAGGAAACTACCCTATTGTTATGTGTCCGTAAAGAATCCGTTGCGCGCCCCCTCTCTGATGAAGTTTGCAATTCCCTAGGATGATAAGGCTCTAAACGTGCTGACTGTACATAATATCATGACATACAACAACCATTTAGGAAGGAAGACCAAGTTTTTACTAATAAAAAAAAACTCTGAATTGTAAAAATTCCCATTTTTTGTCCGAACACAGATCTAGTAATACACAATGTATTTTTTAAACACAAAAAACATATTTTTGCTATTGTCAAATTATTTTTGTTTATGATAACTATGTAATTATGAAGTCAAGAAGCACAGTATACGTAGAAACAGTCAAATATCACATCTATACACCATACTCCGTACTTAGGCCACGCACTAATGAATACATTTATACGATAACAACAATCAATAAATTCAACTCACCGCTTTACAAATTCAGTCTCAGGTTTAAATAATGGACTAATAATAGGTCTCTAGCTATGAAACTAAGATTTTGCAGGATAGCTGTTTCATGGCAATTTTTTTTTATAGTATAATCCGGTAATCGAGCGGACAGATCACCGATGGTAAGCAATCTGCTTTGCCCATGGACACCGAGTACACCAGAGGTTACCGCCCTATTGAGGATTAGGAATTTGAGGGTTGTTGTGGGATTCAGGGATTGGGGAGGGAGGTACCTCACTCATATGACGAAACATAACGCAAGCGTTGTTTCACGTCGGTTTTCTGTGAGGCCGTATCACTTCAGTTGAGCAGGACCAGGCACATGCGTGCCGAAGCTGGCTCTCTCACCCTTAAAATAGCTTTAATAGCAATTTCATGTCTAAATAATTTTTGATATAGTAAAATCCCACACCTATTTAAAATTATTACAACAATTTAGATGTGAAATAGGTATGAGATTTTACTATAGTTCAGAATCCTAATTTTAAGATCACTAAACTCCATTTAAATGTAATTTTCTTAATGGCTACCAATTAAAAACTGTTTTTAAATGGTTGTTCATTTAACAATCTTAATACTGTCATCCCAAATAGACTTGATAGATTATTATTATTATTATTTATTTAATTCAGACAGGCAGTTCTGGAACTGTGTGAAAGATTGAACCGAACTGTCACTTTTGTTCGCTCTAAATCATATACAATCTATGTTAGGTGTTCCGTTGCACATTATCAATGGAAACCGCTGGATTGCCGTCTGGCAGTCAGAATCATAGTCTTATGATTCTGTTCGATTGTTTATTAATGTACTTAAAATAATTGATGAAAAAACTGTAAACTTTGTTAACACCTATATATTATGTAGCCATGTTTGCAAATGATTAAATGAATATGAATATGAAAAAAATGCTAATTTCACAGATAAAGACCTAACAAAAAGACACTCACAACTCAATAACACATCAGAACACACGGTCCTGATATCCAGAGTCCTGTACAGGCTGCGTAGGCTTCGCTTGAGCCCCAGCAACATGATGGTGGTGACGAAGGTGACCAGGCCTGCGGGGTGGAGCGAGGTACTCAAACATGCTCTGCGTATGTTGAGCTAACATGTTAGCGAGGTCACAGGGCATGGGGTCCGTCCAGAAGAAGTCATGGTTTAAGGCTGTGTCCGCATCGTACCTGGGGAAAGAAGGCATATTTATTTTTTAAGATATTGATGTAAAGAAAGTTTGATATTGAATTATTAAAGTCATTCAAGAAACTTAAGTTTTGAAATTATATACGAAATGGAGTTTCTTGCTCATTCTTCTCCATTCTAAACTACACTTTGGAACGAGCGCTTAACTTCACTGACAGACAGACGGATGGATGGATGGAGAATTTAATTTTTGACGTTACTAAAGTGGCTAATTGAAGATTAAAAAATATATTTATTACCAAGCGGTCACCGGTGACCGCAACCTATTGTTCTATAATTGTGTCTACAAAACCGGTACTCGACGAGTTAATTCAGACAGGCAGTTGAAACAACTGATAAATGCCTGTATCGTATTTTTCTATCAGTGGTTAATTCGATGTTCTGTCAAGTCTGTTTTTGAACTGGTTAACATTCTGTGCAGCGATTACTCAGAAAGTGTCTGTGAGGAATATTTTTCGATAAGCTTTTACACAGTTTAAGGTGGTGGCCTCTAAGATGCTATATGCTTTGACTTTGACTTTATAAACACTCCTAAAATACAGAACAAAAGACTGATAAGGAGAACCATACTTATTTAAAAAAATCAACACACATTGTCCTATGAGGGTAAATGAAATAAGTAAAATATTTATTTTTAAAATATTCAAGTTAGTGAATAATAAAAAAAAAAAAACTCACCTCTTTGCAGGATCCAACTGTAGAAGTTTATCCAGCAAATCACAACCATACGGATCCTTAACATATGGCTTCAAGCGTTCCTTAACCTTTCTTTTCTGACCTTTAGGAAGTTCCATTTTATTATAAAGATCTAGATTCTCAACTCCAGGCCATACATCCGGGGTGCAAGAACCGCAGAGCTGGGAAATCAGTATTAACTGTTGCTGTTCTGTTGGGCCTTGCATGATTGGGGACCGGGTCCACATTTCTGCCATGATACATCCTGCGCCCCACATGTCGACCGGCGGACCGTAGTTACGATCACCTGTTGGATAACAATAGTAAGTAACATGATAATATAGACAATACAATCGGCACAATCGAACCAATAAACCCATGTGACTGGAGAATTGTATTGTGAAGACAGGCTTTTTTTTAGGAAAATTACAAACAGGGACTGTTAAAAAAGTGTATTTTTATTATACCTATCATGAGACATTGAATTAACTAAATAGAATGTTTTATGAGAAACCTCTGTGACTCGAAATTAAATGTTTCCCAGAATATTAACATGAGTAAATGGATATTTTTGGTTAATACAAAATAAGTATATATAATACTAGCGGCCCATCCCGGCTTCGCACGGGGGACTTAAGATTTTTTACATAGTTTTACGTTTTATTTATATTTATTCTCAGTTTTTTTTTATTTAGGAAGTATTTACCTTTTGAAAATATTTTTCCGGACTTCATTTACTTATTTCATTTATTTAATTAATTATTTTCTTCTTAAATAGGAACCTACCTATTTTGTTGTTGTTTGTTTTGGTTGAGGTAAGTTTGTTTTTAAATTGTTTTTTTACATTTATTGAAAAATATTTACATCTTTTTTTTGTTTTTCTTTGTTGTTTTAAGGTTTTTTTTGTTTTTCTTTTACTTACCTAATAGGTATCTTTTGGATGAATTAATAGTCTTAAGGTAACCGATTGAACAATTCAAAAGTTATCTAGAGCAAACTTTTATAAGGATTGAACCATTCATTAAAACGATTGTTATGAGTAAACTATAAAAGGTAGACATATGCTCTCGCGGACTTTTTTAAAAATAATGTTAAGATGAACAATTCATCTTTAGAGCATTTTTGTATAACTTTAACTATATGCTCAGCACACGCCACGGAAGGCCAAAAACATTTTTGGTTACTGCTCCACAACTATAGGACCTAGTGTGATATTATATAGCCTATGTTACTTCTGAATAATGCAGCTTTCTAATGGTGAAAAAAATATTGCAATCGGTCCAGTAGTTTTTGAGTTTATTCATTACAATCATACAAAAATACAAATCTTTCCTCTTTATAATATTAGTATAGATAATATTATCCCTATCTATCAATGAACAAGAACCCTGGATGCAGGTTGCTTCCATTAGCCTATCTGGGAGTCATTAGGGAAGGCCCAGCATGTCAGCAGTGGAAATCTTGTGGCTAACTTTTTTTTTAGGATTTTCTCCTGTGTCGTGGGTACAAACATACAAGTTCATAGACAATGACACCCAGACCCTACACAACAATTTGTGGATCAAACAAAGTGTTGTTCCATGCGGGAATCGAACCCGCGACATGTTGCAGAGCAGCCTGTTGCCAAGCCACCGCACCAACCGTGCAGTGAAATATGAGGATGGTGTTGAAAAACATTTCTAAGTAGGTACTTTTTCTTTTTAAAAAGTGAAAAGACCCTTACCCAATAGTAGTTCAGGAGGTCTGTACCATAGAGTAACTACTCTATTTGTGTATTTATTCACTTGTCCGGACTTCGCCAGGCTGAATGCTCTAGCCAGACCGAAGTCAGCAAGTTTTAGTATGCCATTCTTAGTGATCAATACATTGGCTGCCTTCATGTCACGGTGCAAAATTTTGTTACTATGAATGTAGTATAAACCATTCAGTAACTGTTGCATGACCTTTTTAATCTCACCCAAACTGAATTTCACGTTGACATTTGACAGTAAGCCAGCCAAATCGTGCTCGCAGAAGTCAAAAACTAAGTAAAATGTTGATCGGTACTTATTATGCAACGTCGCCTTCGTACGGCATATTTCTATCAAGTTTACTACGTTTTCGTGTTTAAGAAGCTGAAGGATCTTGATTTCTCTCAAGGCTGTGATTGGAAAACCTTCTTTTTCATTGTCCATTAGGACTTTTTTCATAGCAACGAACTTTTTGTTGCTATTCCTTGCGCGAGCTTTAAAGACCTCTCCGAATGTTCCTTGGCCGATTTTAGCGACCTTTTCGTACTTTGAAGACTCGTCACAGAAGGGAAAGTCGAAATCTTCGATGTATTTCTCCTTTTCTCTCATATTTAGGATCGTGGAGCTGGTGCTCATCACGGGTTGCGTAGGCTCCCGCGGAGCACTAACGCCTTGCATTTTGGACGCAATCTTGCCGCCTTTTTATTGCACTTCACCAAGGAAATAATGTCCTATGATATTTTTAATAATGAAGGTAATTTCTAAACAAATTCAGGCAAAATTTCCACGCACTCTCATCGCAACTTGACTTCTTTCTGCAATCGTCAAAGACAAAACAGAAATGGAAACAGAATATGTCACTGTCATGTCAACGACAATTTTGACATAGACCAATAGGGATGTCTCTCTGTAGTACTCTGTACCTTTCTGTCACTGCTTTCTGTTGAATATGGTTGAAACAGAAACAGATTATTAATTTTCCTGTTATTTCAAATTATAATTATTTTGTTGGTGTATAAATGTAACTAAACTGTAATTTATTTCATAAATAAAGTAAATACTGATGACTTTTTACATAAATAAGTAAAAATTTTATCGATTTGCTTATATCAAGTCGATCGAATCGACTAACTAAATGCTTTTCAGAATGTTTACTACGTTCCCTTCCACGCATCATATCGCAAAGATGATCAAAAAAGCAGTCACACATCATCAATTTGTTCTGGTTTCCATAAATGGAACGTCACTTGTTGTCTGTCACGAATTAATTTACAATTTTATTATTTTTAGAAGAAATTATCGTATTTAGAGGAAAAAGAATCAGCAAACAGGTAAATAACAATCCAATAATGAATTTAAATAGCTCAGTTTATCTCAGTGTGGTGTAAATAAACTAATATTTACATTTTCCTTGACGTCAATATCGATCCGTTTAAAATAAGTGGGCCAAATATTTTGCAAGTTTTCGCAATCAAAACTATATTCGAGTGTCCGATAACGCTTGCTAATAAGCCAATGGAGTGTCTACGATAGTATAGGATACTGATAACAACTCTTAAATTTTTGACAATGGAGTTAACTGAAAAATAGTCCGCCCCTTTTTCGTGCCATAATTTAATATATTATACAGGTAAACAAACTGTAAAATGTACATTTTACGATATATTTATACTTAAATTAGTAATGAATTAGTACTATTTAACATGATACACCAGTTTTAGAGTGCTATAACAATTTTATTGTATAAAATTAACATAGGTAGCTCAAAAATCTTTATTGAAACATTTATTTCTTTTAAGTGACTTATTTTGTAAAATTTCGTTGCTTGTCTCATTATACTTCAGGTTAATACTATTATTTAGCATCTCTTTTAAAATTGCAAGTCATTATTAACATTAATAATCTCTAAAATTTACAGTAAATATGAATTTATAACATTTTTATATAACCAGCTGTTACTCTCGCCTTCGTCGACGTCGCCAAAAGAATACAAAAGCCTATGAGTCTATATTACTCTCCAGCCTCCTATCTCCAGCCATAAAAATAGCAGCCACGGAGGGCTTAATGGGTTGCCGGGGCTCCGGCTTGAAGTGCAGGAGTAGGAACAGGGTGGTTTTTAGGCAGTAAGACTCTGACACTCCCTCTCGCCTCATCCGGGCGGGAGAAGTCATCAATGATTTTCTGCCCTCAATAAAAAAAGCCATAAATATAGTAGGTAACTATAATAAAAATTATAAATGCGATAGTGTGTGTGTATGTTTGTCACTGAATCACGTCGAAACAGCTGAAGCGATCGGGATGCAATTTGGAATAAACGTAGATTATGGTCTGGATTACCACATAGGCTACTTTTTACCACACGGGAATATGTGCGAACCAGCTGGCAGGATCTTGTAATACCATAAAAATAGTCCATTGTGATGATAAAGACAACTAAGCTCACATACTTTCATATCACTACATAGTATAAAACAAAGTCGCTTTCTCTATCCCTATGTCCTTTTGTATGCTAAAATCTTTGAAACTACACAATAGATTTTGATGCGGATTTTTTTAATAGATAGAGTGATTGAAGAGGTAGGTTTCTGCATATTGCACCTGTGCGAAGCCGGGGCGGGCTAGTTTTAATATTACTTAGAACTGTTTCTTCTTTCATATTAATTGAATTAGCATAATCTGAGTCATACACACAGACAGATGTTATTATTATATGACTTTGCGTTAATTGTATTAGTAGACAAGTGTCCATGAGTCATACTACACTAATTTGTTTATGTTTCATTTTCATATTTTTCTTGTTTTGATAGTCAAAGTAAACTAATATTAGAAAAAAATTTTTTTTTTTTAATTCTTTCTTTTTTAAATCACTCTTTACATTAATAATATAATAAAAAAAATACTATGGGTATAAAAATAAATGCGCCACAATAAAAACTTAAAGAATACATTTCAGCAAGTGTGACGACAAAGAAAACATTTCAGCAGCTTGGCAGAGATAGATGTGACACATTTGTTAACAAAGGTGACATCTTACCTGGCTTTCCTTTTACTCAGAATTCACATTAAGTAGATTGGAAAAGAGGGGAGCAGAGAGTAAAGAATTAAATTGCACTGAAGACTGCACGGTTGGTGCGGTGGCTGGGCAACTGGCTGCCTCGCAACGTGTCGCGAATCCGATTCCCGCATGGAACATCTCTTTGTGTGATCCACAGATTGTTGTTCCGGGTCCGTGTGTCATGTGATATTGTATGTTTGTAAACTCAGCCACGACACAGGAGACAGTCCTAGTGTGGGGAAAGGCTTTTTTAAAATATATATATTGTTTTTAAATTCCAGCATCATGGCGAGTGAGAGCAGCTCAGCGGTGCTGGAGCTGAACGACGCTGATGCTGAAGACACGGAGGCTACCACCGTGACTGATGATGCTCACGAGGGAGTACCGCTGATTATGGAACACGGATATGACATCGCTGTTAAGGTAGGACTGATACTTAGTATCTGGTTAGCTTTAGGAGTGGTCTGATTGGAAAAAAAGTTATTTACCGGGTTCAACTTTCCCCAAACCCTAAATCCCCAACAATCCTTAAATTCGTAGTCCCCAAAAGACCGGTAACGCACTTGTAACGCCCCTGGTGTTCCGAGTGTCCACGGCCGGCGCCGATTGCTTACCATCAGGTGATCCGTCTGCTCTTAGTAGAGATGTTTAGAAACATGTCAAAAAATATCGGCCTGGGAAATCGAACTTTTAAACTATTCTACAGCAGTCAAGTTTGTTATCAGTATCACAGTATGTAACTGTCGTACTGCTGGAAGAAATCCTCTTCTCACACTGAAGGAATGAGCATTAATTAATCTCCACGCTCGCTCAATGTTGGTTGGCGATTTCAAACTTATAATTAGAAATTATAAGGCCAGGATTCCTCACGATATTTTCCTTTACCGTTTGTCAGTGGTGTGTATTCAAATCCACTAGTAGGTATTTGTCATTTACGGCGCGTTACGATCCAAGCGAGCTTCAAAGAGCCATCAGACCACCACAGATGGATAGTCAGTAGGGCCTACCTCGGGCTTACTCTTGAATCTAATTCCGATCGATCATTCGATCGACATTGACATTGTGTCGTACTTTTGAGTCACAACACTAGCGCCCATTGCATTGCATATTCCGTACTCTGAATGCTACTCTATCAGCTACGATAGGGGTTGTATAGTTTTGACATTGAAAAAATATTGAGCTTTTATTGGATTGAAATTGCACTGACATTTACAAGCGCCTTAGGGGCTTACTCTTGAAACTACTTACAACACTAGCGCCCATTGCATCCGTATTGCGTGGCCGTGGATATTGAATGAAGTAAATGGTATTGAGTTTGGCTTTATATTCCGTACTCTGAATGCTATTGTAACAGTTAAGATTGGAGTTGTATAGTGTTGACATTGAATAATTATTGAGATTTTATTGGATTCACACTGAGATTGGTTTCAAGAGTAAGCGCCCTGATATGAAGCTGCGGATGGCCTAACGGGTTACCCGGGCTCCGGATCGAAGCTGCAGGGATGATGATAGTCAGTAAGAGTCTAACACTCCTTCCCGCCCTAGCCATAATTTTACCAGACCAAAAAAAAAATTGTGGGGTAACTTTTTTAATACTTTTTTTTAAATTTCCTTCCAGGTGGACGCTCCGATGAAGCAGTTGTCGACGTTAGAGACGTACGTGACGTACAGAGTGCGCTGTGTCTGCGCTCGGTGGCCGACACCGCCTTATGTACGGAGGCGATATAATCATTTCAAGGTAAAATACACCGTATTTTAGTGAAATAAATCTCGTTTTCGTACCGCGGCAAAACAACTTGCAATAAGATAGATAAGACGTACTTTCGACACATACCTACACCGATAGTACGATAATGGGGATGATGACAGGGTATGAAAATTAAAAATATAATTAGTCCGTAACTTAGGTAATAAAAAAATATTAGACACGTATTTTTTTATTTCGTCGTATAATAAAACAATACTTAGATAAAACGAATCAAAGTTTAGGAGTGGGGGCTAAAACGTCATTTCTTAGTATAAAATGTACTGAGAAGTGACGTCACGCGACATTTCAATACAATATATCTTTGAAACTATTCGTTTCCGTAAGAAAATAAAAAATACGTGTCTAATGTTTTTAAATAATCTACCAGACGGACATTAAAATTAAAATTAGTCGTCTACCCTATTTGGTAGTTCCACCGTCTTCCCGGGAGTTTTGAAAATGAGCAATTTTGTAGCTTTTGACTGCCTCGTTGGCCGAGTGTTTGCAAGTGCGACTGCCGGGCAAGAGGTCTCGGGTTCGATTCCCGGGTCGGGCAAAGTTTCACTGGGTATTTAAAAAAAACATGGAGTCTGGAATTGTGCCCGGTATATGGCAATAGGTCCATCCCCTATTACACAGAACTCGTAATATAAATAGTGAATAGTGGGTGTTGTATTGTACATTGGCATTGAAGTGCCGCAATGTGCACCTCTGCCTACCCCTCCGGGGATAAAAGGCGTGATGTTATGTTACTTATGTAAGTTTTCTTAAAATAAATAAATTATCTTTATGTCCTCCCCCCAGGTCCTCCACCGTCGGCTGAGTACGTCTCACCCCCTCCTCGCCCCCCCTCCGCTCCCCCCGCTACACTCCGCGCGACAACAGCTCGACAGATACTCGCCATCATTCGTCGCTCTACGGACCTGTGCGCTTAATGCTTTCCTGGGTAAGTTATTTTTTTATGGTATAAGTCGGTAAACTAGCAGACGGATCACCTGATGGTAAGCAATCGGCGTCGCACATGGACACATGGAACACCAGAGGCGTTACAAGTGCGTTACCGGCCTTTTGGGGATTAGGAATTTGAGGATCGTTGGGGATTCAGAGTTTGGGGAGATTGGGGAAGGGAAGGGTAATTGGGCCTCCGGTAACCTCACTCACGCGACGAAACACAACGCAAGCGTTGCTTCACGTCGGTTTTCTGCTCGGCCGTGGTATCACTCCTGTCGAGCCAACCCATTTGTGCCGAACCATGGCTCTCCTACACTTAAGTTAATTTAATATTTGTGTTAATGTTTTCAGAACGAGTAGCGAAGCACCCAATTCTGACACACAGTGAAGATTTCAGAATATTTCTGACTACACCTGATGATGAATTGGAAAAGGTAAGATATCATATAATTAGGAGGAGAATTCTTAATCTAATAGGGGGGAGCCGGTGCAGTGAGTCCGCAAGGACAAGCTGGGCTACGCTCACAGGCAATGGAGGTACAACGTAGTGGTTTTAGCCGGTAAGAGCCCGGCACGACCTCCCCCCCCCCTTCGTCCCTACGTCCCCACGACGAGAGAAGTCCATGAGGATTTCCATCGCGATATAAAGAAAAAGGGGGCGAGCCTATTTCCAGCCTTCGAGTATGAATTTAAAACTGTAATACAGGATTGAATTTAGTCAAAGATTTGTTTTCGGTGTCGTTTCCTGGGATAGACAAACATTATTTTAAATGTTTTTCTTTCTTTCTATTATTTAGTTTTACAATTTCTTTGCTCTAAGTCAAACAGTTATCTGATGAATCTAGTCAAAACTGCTATCTACCCAACCTGAGGGCTTACTCTTGAATCCATTTTCTTTTTGAGCGGGAAAATCATCCAATGACAACTCCCACCTTGCCTGGGGTGAAAGGGAGTGTCAGACTCTTACTGACTAAAAACCACCCCGTTCCTACTCCTGCCATTCGAGCCGAAACCCTGGCAACCCGTTAAGTCCTCTGCCGCTCCGTATCAGGCATCAGCCCTACTGGGCCCCATCTGTGGTGGGCTGGTAATTCTCTACTAGACGAAGTAAGAGAGGTTCACACTAGCGCCATCTATTGAGCAGGTAGGAGGGCTGCGCTGCATACTGCATGCTGCAAATTCATTCCCACGGCACAAAAAAGACTAAATATTTTTCCAATTGTCAGTAAAGACATACTACATGTTTACCAACTTCCTGCTGTCCCGTTGGCCGAGTGGTCGCAAGTGCGACTACCAGGCAAGAGGTCTAAGGTACAAAAAAATCTCAGTGATAGCACGGAGTCTGAAAATGTGCCCGGTATATGGCAATAGGCGCACCCCCTATTACATGGGACTCATAACATAAATAGTGAAAAGTGGGTGTTACCTCTGTGTGCACCTCTGCCTACCCCTTCGGGGGTAAAAGGCGTGATGTTATGTTAATGTATGTTATGTTTAACAAACTCTAGCTTCATGAAGCTGACAATGTTAATTACTTTGTTAAAGGTATTTAAAAGTGAAAATAGCGCGCTAAACCTGTGGGGGTTCAGCAGCGCCCTCTACGGCTCCGGTGAAACGAAAACTACGAATGGACCACGGTAAATATCATTTTATATTATTGTCATCTGATTTAATTTTATGAAATGAATCATTTCTCATCATTCAATAATATGTCACATTCGCTGCTTTTAAAATTTGGCAAAAGTAATCTAATTCATTTTGTCTTTTTATCGTTTAGTACTAAGTTATTTAATGTAAACCAATTTCGAACCTTCATTAGGGCATTATTTACGTCGTCATAATTATTTGTTCGCCTATTTATTTTAAAAACCAATGAAGTGTCATCAGCAAATAAAACCATATGCGGTTCATTTTTAAATAAATGGGGCAAGTCATTTATTAATGTTAAAAATAAGAATGGACCTAATATTTAGCCCTGCGGTACACCCATACATATACTAGCACCCTGTGAGTTAACTTTGTTTATTTGTACTTTGAGTTGCCTATTCTGAAGGTATTATTTTAATAAATTTAGCGAAATTTCTCGAATGCCATAGTGTTCCAGTTTCAGCAATAATGTCTCATGCTCAACACAGTCCAATGCCTTCGAAAGATCACAAAACATTACAATTGCAACCTGTGTCTATTCCCACGAAGCGAAAATCCGCTTAATTAACGCTACTCAGTAGTGTTTTATACTGAATTGTATGCTTTGTAACGAAGCCATATCTTTTGTAACTCAGTCGGCACTGGACAACCAATGGTTACTGTCTCTGTACTGAATCAGTCTTTATCTTACCTGGATACTAAATAATCTTGTTTGATTGTCATAATGTTTTTTTTTTCATATCGCCCGAATACTGAAATAGTACTCAATTTTGAGTTGTACAGAAATGTCGTGTCATCTCTGATATTTTACAAAGAACTATACTTAAGCACGATTAAAACTTGAGTCGCATTTTTGCATTTCGACATGAATATGTCTTAATTAAATTAAATATGTTTTGTCGCTTACTCACGTAATTTTTTGACGAGGAAGTCGACTAGTTTCAAGCCATGCTACTGGCACAGTAGCAGCGACAGACGCCGTGGCGCTGGCCGCGGAATGCTGCTCATGAATATGAGTTTGTTTTTTTGTTGGTTTGTTTGAACGCGCTAATCTCCGAAACTACTGGTCCGATTTGAAAAATTCTTTCAGTGTTGGATAGCCCATTCATCGTGGAATGCTATAGGCTATAAAATATCACGCTACGATTAATAGGCGCCGAGTCGAGCGAGTGAAACCGCGCGGAAGTAGCTAGTTATAATATAATTGAGTATTTCATTGCAGAGTAAAAGACCCAGAGTTCACGTCAGCGGCGGACTACCTACAGTCCCTCCAACAGAAGCTGAGCACCCTCTGTTCCCTGACGACCAAGTTACATAAGAGTTCCCTCGCACTCAGCACTGAGTATACCGCGTGAGTATATATCATAGTCATACATCTTACTAATATTATAAATGCGAAGGTTTGTGTGTTTGTTACTCAATCACCTCAAAACGGCTGAAGGGATCGCTATGAAATTTGGCATAGGGGTAGATTATGGTCTGGAATACAACATAGGCTACTTTTCATCATCAGCCCGTGTTCGTCCACTGCTGGACATAGGCCTCTCCAATGGCGCACCACTGAGCTCGGTCTTCAGCTCCTCTCATCCAACCACTGCCGGCCACCTTGCAGATGTCGTCACTCCACCTAGCTGGAGGGCGCCCTACACTACGTTTGCCTAGACGCGGTCTCCACTCTAGAACATGTTTACCCCAACGGTTATCAGTTCTTCGACAAATGCGACCGGCCCACTGCCACTTCAGCTTACTAACACTTTGGGACTCAAGGATTGGGGAGATTAGGAAAAGGGGGTGGGGGGGATGATTGGGCCTCTGATAACCCCACTCATATGAGTGTACATAATTCAAGCGTCATTTCACTATGATTTTCTACTCGGCCGTGGTATCACTCCGGTCGAGCCGGCCCATTCGTGCCGAAACATGGTTCTCCCACACTTAAAATGTCTCTATATATCTTCTTGCTATTTTGCTTACCTATAGTTCAGAATACGGAGAATGACATACCATTTTTAAACTGTCGAATACCGGTGACCGCAACCTATTGTTTTTTAATTGTGTCTATAATGATGGTACTCAACGAGTTAAAAGCAAATAATAATAATAATAATTTTGAATTATTCTTTCTACACCAGTATGAAACGCGCCTGTGACGCTTGGACGTCCCAAAGTTCGGGTTTAACAGCGCGGGGGACGGCGGGATGCGCGGCGGGAGCGGCACGGGCGGGGGGTGCCGGGGGCGGCCCGGGGGGACGACCCCCTCTACAGTCGAGGGCACTACTACCTTTACTAGCAGCATACGCAGCCGCTCATGTACAGAAGATATCGCAAAGGGATCAGATACATGGTAAGTTTAACTCGGTTCTATTCAGCTGGCCCCGTTTGTTTGTTTGTGTCTCTAGTAATTGTAATGTCCCCCCCTTCCTGATATAAGGTGTAGTTTTGAAACCGTGTCATTTCTCGGGGGCATGTCACAGAAGTCATAAAGGTTCAATGTAAGAGAAAGTTTCGAGCCAATATGTAGTTAAAAGTACGGCTATAATAAATCGTTTAAGTTCGACAGTATTTCAGAATAAGCGACAGCAATGTTTCTTATTGGAGTTTTATGGAATTAGGAATAATATCAATTACGTGTTTGAGTTTGTGTGTGTTAAGTCGCGTTATAAAGCTAGTTACAAGACGGCGGCGTGTAGTTCGCACTTACGGATTTCCGTAATTTACAGAAAAATGAAAAATATTTACCTACAACTTTTTTTATTGATTCGGATCCAGAATCGATAGCCGAGCTACCTCCTAGAAAATGACGCGGCTTTAAAACAACACCTTGTATAATCGAATTGTTTCCACGACTACCTCCGTTGTGGATGTCAGCGAAAGGACTTGTTTGGTAGAATAGAGCTCATTAAAACCGTTTAACGTAAAAATATTTATTAAAAGTTACTGCTAATGATTATTTTAATTATTTCAGCTGCATACGTTGCGGGGACCAATACGACAGATGATCTGCATAACAGGTAAGGACACAAAACCCAACGGGTTGCCGGGGCTCCGGCTCGACGTGCAGGAGTAGGAACGGGGTGGTTTTTAGTCAGTAAGAGTCTGACACTCCCTCCCACTTCACCCAGGCGGGAGCAGTCATTCGATGATTTTCCGCCTTAAAAAAATGACACATTTAAAAAAATAAAATCTGGCATTGATATGTTCTTGAATAATCCAAAATTATTGGATTGAGATCAAAATACCTATGGCGATCATCAATTTTAAAAATGAAATTGGTACCAAAAATTAAATATGATTTTTTTTTATTTCTCAATGTTTACAGAAATTACTTATTTTCTAAGTTTTAGCGAGTTCGGTATTATAGAATTCTTACATTTAATACAAAATATCATCAACAGGTTAGAACAGGCGTCAGAAGCTCTCCGGTCCGAACTATCGGACTGGATACCAAAAACAAGATCAGAAATCAAAGCCCTACTCCTAGATTTGACTGACAGGCAAGTCAACCAATACACCCAAGCGGTCCACGGCTGGGAACAGGGCCTCAAACTAGCAAGCGAAACAAATATAGGCGATATTTTCAAAACAGTTTCAAAAACAGCTGTTCAGAACTTATCTCCGTCTCGCTGTCTATCAGAGATGACGCCGACAGAAACTGAACGAGATTTAGATGATTACAGCGAAGAATTTGATCCAACAAGCCATGAAGATTTTGATAATCATGTCTTAGATGATGCTAGCGAGAAAATCGTTGCTGATAATCAAATCGATGGTGAGTCGAATCTCGAAAGTACTGTTAAAAGTAGTGATGATGTTTTAAATGAGATTTTAGAAGATAGTAAAGCTACTGATGTTAGGCCTTTGGAGTCAAAAAATGCTAGTACAACTGATCCTTTAAGAGATTTCACCGATGTTGATCTATCATGATTTTATGATTCCATTTTTTATGGTCTTCTCAAAGATTTTTAGCAAAGGGACTGGCAGAGATGTAAGTTAGGTAGCAAATTAAAAGGTGTACCCCAAGGTTTTTCACTTGGACCAACTCGAATTTTTGCGTGGATTTTAGTGTGTAAATTGAGTAATTACATTTGATATTGTGTTAAATAGGTTTTGAAAGATTGGGAGTAAAAAAATATAATGTTCAGTCAACTGATTTTATTTAATAAAGATGTTTTTTGTGGTAAAAAATGCTAATGGCCGTTTTTACCAATGACCCCTTAAGCTGTCACTTAAGTAAGAGTCACTTTGCGTGATGAAGTACCTAAACTAGCCTAGCTTACGTGTACTGTGAAGTGTCATTAATAGGTTGGTGAAAACATGTCATTAACTATCACCTATATTAGCTTAGGGGTTCATTTAGTGGAAACGGTCATTAATTGCTGTCGATATATTAGACACGATAGAAAAGAAGAACACACATTATGTCTCACTTAGTTCTGCGTTTCGAGACTTCACAGGTTAATAGACTGGAGTTTCAGAATAGGTCTTCCTCTTTCAAATAGTGCCTAAATCCACCAGTCCCAGGTTTCATAAATATAGCTAGAATTGGGAGGAAAGAATCGGAGCCACTAACGCTTTTTTTAAATATATAACTGAAAAAAAAATTTCTTCTGCAAAAAATAATAAACTACCTTGTTGGCCGAGTGGTCGCAAGTACGACTGCCGGGCAAGGGGTCGGGCAACATACTACTGAGTTTTTATAAAATTTCAGTAGTAGCACGGAGTCTGGAATTGTGCCCGGTATATGGCAATAGGCTCACCCCCTATTACATAAGACTCATAACATAAATAGTGAAAAGTAGGTGTTACATTGTACAGTGGCATAATGTACACCTCTGCATACCTCTTCGGGGATAAAAGGTGTGATGTTATGTTATGCTAAATTGCCTTTTATACGATATACGTTAACAATTAATAAAATACAAGTATTAGAAAATATTTACCGAGGAAAAACGCTAGCGGCTTCGTTCTTTCTCTTTTACTCTCAATCGTAAAATATAGTTTACCAACACTTATTGACTATCTTTCGAATAATTAATTAATAAAATTGTGAGGTCTATCGTATGCTATAGAGATGGCAAGGACAATATAGAGGATGCAGGGCAGAGGAAAGGTAAACTCTCTTGTTGGAAGCCAAAGTATTTCATTTTACATGGAGAGCTATACACGAATGGTCTACATCGACCAGAGTGAGGGCTCGTACACAAAACTGCGATGCGACGTCGCATCGCAAAAATGTGCGAGCTCCCTCTACGCATCGCAAGAACTTGCGAATTGATTCGCATCGCGTATCAAATTCTTCTTTCCTGCAGCAAATGTACTTATCTACATATAGAATAGAAAACCAAATTATATGGCTAACCACCTAGCCGTGTCGCGGAGAACCTAACGGGTAACCGGGGCTCCGGCTCGACGTGCAGGAGAAGGAACGGGGTGGTTTTTAGTCAGTAAGAGTCTGACACTCCCTCCCGCCTCACCCAGGCGGGAGCAGTCATTCGATGAATTTCCCCCCTTAAAAAAAAAACACCTAGCCGTAATGTAATACGGCGGATTATACAATTTGCCTGCGTCGAATATACGGACCGCCTGATGATAAGCAAACGGCGCCGCCCATAGGGGTGTCCATGCAACACTACAGGGGTGGTTACTGGTTAGCCCCATTGTCCGATAGTGAAGCTAGGTGCTCGTTCCAAAATGCATGGCTTCAAAGATAGACCTTACCTCTGCCCTGTATACCATGAGATGTGGATCCAAAGCAATCTATATTTGTAATCATATCATAATACAATACATAGTCTTATATACCTACCGTTTATTAAATTATTTACTTAAATTCTTGTATATAAAGTTTAGGTTTATACTATATTTTCGTTTTAATGGAATGTCACTTTTTTTGATTTAGGGTATGGTCCCTTTCTGCGCCAAAGTTTGCAAAGTATTATTAGGTTTTTGTATTTTTGATTATCAATGCGACACTGCCTCGTTTAGTGGTTATAGCCTAGGAGATTAATGTCACACGACTATCGGTGACATGTCGAAGCCTGCCGATTTCGCCCGATCTATTGTAAAGGTGGGGTCCCACGGCCTGCCAGGCGACAGGCCGCGACAGGCGTTGCCCTGCCTGTGGAAGCCTACTGCGGCCCATATTGAGCATTCCCACGGCGTGTGCTAGTCTCGTGCGGCCTGTTGTCTGTCATTCCAACATGTTCAGAGCGCATGGCTGCGTGAGCAGCCGCTTTCGTCGCGCCTTTGAAGTTACCGACTCCCGATGGATCGGACGGGCGAGGACAGGCCATCACAAGCTTCATCGGATGCGACGGTTCCCACGGCCTGTCGATCTGGCCTGGCTTGGTCTGGCCTGTGAGAAAGCAGGCCATGGGACCCCTACTTAAGGTGACAACTCGCGCCTAATGTCCACAGCGACGTTGTTGTTGTCAGACATGTCGACCAAAGTCCGGCAACGTCGCTCTACTTCACCCAAACTTGGCTTACAACCCCGTCGTCGGGTTATTTTGGTCTCAAGTACGATTCCTGAAGACTTTCGGCGCTCACATTGGCTGGCTCTTATGAACTAATCAATCAGTGCGCCGAACGCAGTCTTGTTTCTATTAGATACTAATACAAACTCGTACAAGCCCTCTGTTCTTGCATACCATATTTTCTTCGAAAGGACCACCTACTTTATCGAGGGACTATTTGGTTTTAAGCGACATTTTGGGCTATATTGAGTTATATATTCGGAATCAGCGAATTTTTCTCCGTCGAATATATGTATAATAATTCAATATCGCCCAAAATGTCGCTTAAACTGTCAAACACCAAGCGGTCACCGGTGACCGCGACTTATTGTTCTTTAATTGTGTCTATAGTGACGATACTCAACGGGTTCAACCAAATAGTCCGTTATCCCTCGGGTTGTACTTCTAATAAGAGGCACTTAGGCCGCGAATTTTGCGAGCAGCGGGGTGGCGTCGGCAGTGGCGCGGCACGGCGGGCACCGCTTGACTGGAGTGCACTGCTCGTTGCCCGCCCCTGCGCTGTTTTCGAGAACCGATCCATTTGATTTTACGCATAAGATCCTGCAAAACCCGCGCTGCCGCCGCCCCGCTGCACGCAAAATTCGAGGCAGAGGCCTTAAACGGTGTCGCGGCAAACGTAAAAGGCTGCCGGGGCTTCGACTCGACGTGCAGGAGAAGGAACGTGGTGGTTTTTAGTCAGTAAGAGTCTGACACTCCCTCTCGCCTCATCCGGGCGGGGCGGGAGAAGCCATTCGATGATTTGCCTCGCTTAAGAAAGCTCCAATATTAAGAAAAGTGACATACCATTATTTATTACTAGCGACCCGCCCCGGCTTCGCACGGGTGCAATATGCATGTATTATACATACAAACCTTCCTTAAGAATCACTCTATCTATTAAAAAAAACCGCATCAAAATCCGTTGCGTAGTTTTAAAGATCTAAGCATACATACGGACATACAGCGAAAGCGACTTTGTTTTATACTATGTATTGATAACCTATGTACCTACTTGTATTTTAATATAGTGCAGTGCAATAACTTCGCAAAATATATGCATATCAAAGTTATTTGACTGAAATTCGGCATTTTATATTTTGTCGTAGTTTTGTTGTAGTATTTAAACCTTATGTATGTAAAAGATTGATACTGAATATCTTATATTATGTGGATAGTCCTATAATTGTATGCTCGATGTTTATGAACCCCGTTGTGATTTGAAATTGGTTGAGTGTGGGCGAAAAATTTACGTAAATCAAATATATTAAAATAATAGCTTCTGTTTGTGTTCCCGTGGGATAAAAAGTAGCCTATATGTTATTCCAGACCATAATCTATTCCTGTTCCAAATTTCATCCCGATCTCTTCAGCCGTTTCGACGTGATTGAGTAAAAAACATAAACACCAACTTTCACATTCATAATATTAGTTACGGGTTCTTGTGTCAAACGCTAGCATACAATTATGAGTCTTATCGACATAGTTATTAAAATTCTTTTGTATTATTATTTATGAACTTGTAACTACAAAAAAAACAAACAATAATAATTACCAAATGTTAATTTAATTTTAATATTATTTCTAACGAAGAACAAATTCTTGTTTTTGAAGGGACTTGAACCCGTAGCACGGTGGCAAATCTTTTAGTTACTGTGTTGTTCAAATTTAAACTTTATTTAGAATTAATATTTTTTGGAAAAAGCTGAATTTTTCAGCTACTTATTGTATATTGTTTGTGACAAAAACAGTGGCTCGTGTAGTGTAGATGTCCAGTCAACTAATGGTAGCGAGGTTTCTGTCCAGAGCCACAGTAAGCTAGGATAAGAATACGTCGAGTTACAAGTCACCCTGTAATAAAACTGAATGTTTGAACTGCTAATCGCCGGAGCGTCGATTCGCATAATTGGGATGATGACAGAGTATGAAAGCAAGTTAGGCAATGAAAAAATATTAGACACCTATTTTTTTATTTTGTCGTATAATAAAACAATACTTAGATAAAACGAATCAAAGTTTAGGAGTGGGGGCTAAAACGTCATTTCTACGTATAAAATGTACATAGAAGTGACGTCATGCGACATTTCAAATCAATATATCGTCAAAAGTATTCGTATCTGTAAGAAAATAAAAAATACGTGTCTAATGATTTAAAATGAATCTACCAGACGGACATTTAAATAAAAATTAGGCGTCTACTCTAGTCCGACGGAGTAATACATCTATACAAACGCTGCGATCAATAGCAGTCAAGCAGCGAAGTAAAAACCCCTCGAGTCCGAGCGTCGCTAGTGGTACATGTAAACAGTGACTCGTGTAGTGTTGTAGAGATTGTCCAGTCAACTGATGTTTTGCCACAGTCAGTGTACAATAATTTTGTAAATAAATTGTTGCAATAATGTATATAAAGGAGTATTTATTACAATAATGTTGGTTTTATTTACCCTTCTACTGCACGCAGTCCGCTGCTGGATTAGACATGATCGCCACACTTAGCGAAAGGGTTGGGGATTATAGTTTAGTTTAAATAACTTGTCTGAAGATTTGTTTACTGGTCAAAGTATTTATTTCATATACACATTACATCACGCCTTTTATCCCCGACGGGGTAGGCAGGGGTGCACATTACGGCACTTAATGCCACTGTACAATGTAACACCCACTTTTCACTATTTATGTTATGAGTCCCATGTAATAGGGGGTGAGCCTATTGCCATATACCGGGCACAACTACAGATACGGAGTCTGGACTACTGAGATTTTTTTTAATAACCCAGTAATACTTTGCCCGACTCGGGAATCGAACCCGAGACCCTTTGCCCGGCAGTCGCACTTGCGACCACTCGGTCAACGAGGCAGTCAGATAAAACGAATCAAGTTTAGGAGTGGGAGGTAGCTACGTCATTTTAGAGTATAAATTGTACTCAAAAGTGACGTCATGCAATATTTCAAATCAATATATCATCGAAACTATTCGTTTCCGTAAGAGAATAAAAAATACGTGTCTAATGTTTTCAAACTTTCTCCGTGTAATCTCACAATTCTATACTCCGTGTTACTACTGAGATTTTTTTTTAAAACCCGTTAGTACTTTGCACGACCCGGGAATCGAACCCGAGACCCCTTGCCCG